GTGGAGGAGGAGGAGGAGGAGAGAGGAGGAGGAGGAGGTGGAGGAGGTGGAGGAGGAGAGCTGGTCTTGAGTCGGGCATGTCCCTGTCACGAGTCCTTCATCCCGAGTCGTTCTCTGCCAGTCCAGGGGCCCGTGGAGGGCCCCGAGAGCTCGAGCACGGCGGAACACCGCAGGACCTGCTTCCCTCCGAAGGAGGCCGCTTCTTAGAGGGCGCCAGCCCTACATCTGCAGACGAGTCCCGCGCCTTCTAAGAAGCAGCCTCCTCCCGAGCAGCCTTCCCCCCTTCCATGTTCCCCCCCCAATGCGCGCGGCCGAATGGCTGGAGGGGGACGGGAAGGGGAGGGGAAGGTAGCTAAGCTGCCCCGATACGCAACACGCAACACGTAGCGTTTTGATGCGGAGCTCAACACGTAGGGTGAAAACGTAGGTCCGACGCGATGCATTCGCCAAAGCGTGGCCCACTACGTGGAGCCAACACGCAACGGATTGACACGGACGTCTTGGACACGGGACGTATTGCGTATCAAAACGGGCGCATCGAGACAGCTGAGGAAGGGAGGGAGGGAGGGGAGAGAGAGAGAGAGAGAAACAACAAAAAAAAAGACTGACAGGCGACAGGACGGGATGCTGGAGAATGGGAGGGGGAACGATGAAGGCCTACGAGGCCCGAGCAGCGGGGCGCTCTTGAGGCAGGCTGGGCCGGGGCAAGCCTCGCAGTCGCGCTGACATAGGCTCAGGCCCGAATCCGCACCACACGAAGCAGAAGCAGGCTAAAGTCGGGCCTGTCCCCCTACCGGGGGATTTAGGACGAAAGATCAAAAATACCCCCCAAAATTGCCCAAACAAACAATGCTCAAAAAATAGTCCCTGTAGGGGGACACGCCCGACATAAAACCAGTCCGAGCCAGGCTGGAATGAGGTGGATGAGACCGGTATTTGCAGGATCAGTCCAGAGAAACTGCTGGCACCGATGCTGAGTTCCACCTCCTAGTTAGGAGCTCCATCCCGGAGGACTAGAGGGAGGCCAGAGAGTGGCAGGGACAAGCTAGGTGCGCTCGCGCCATATCTGGCATGCTAAGCCATGTCGCTGATTTGTCTCTATCCGCGGACGCGTGTCATAGCGGACCTGGAACTCCCAAAAAGACCCCTATCGTGTCATGTAAAATCAGACAAGGGAAGCTGCGTATATAGGAGGAGGGGGGAGGAGGAGGAGGTGGCGCATGAGCAGGACGACGAGCAGGAGGAACACGAGGACGATGAGGAAGGAGGAGGAGGAGGCCGAGGACGAACAGCAGCAGCGGGAACTGGAGTGGAAGCAACAGGACCAGGGGAGGCGGGGGAGGGGAAAGGAGAGCGCTCTTCTGAAAGACGGGACGAAAAGGCCGGTCATAAAGCGATGCCACCGCTGCAACGGCAGAACCATTTTGAGACACGGAAAGCCCTCCGATGGAATACACACAGGAAAAGGCCAAACGATACAAATCCAGAGTAAAAAACAAGGGGCCAGCCGTCTTCGGGAGGAGGAGGAGGAGGAGAGTACATGATACTCATGTGGAGAAATTGTCCTGCTCCTCGGCATCGTCGGGCCTACCCCCACCCCTGGTGAGCCAGGGCTCCGTAGCGTGGCCAGCCTGCCCCCTCGAGATGGGGATGCCCCATCTATCGTCAATCAGGGCCCCCTCCGTAGCGTGGCCAGCCTGCCCCCTCGGTAGCGTGGCCAGCCAGCCTGCCCGATCTATCCTCAATCAGGGCCCCGTAAACCTGGACACGCTAGACCCAGACACCCCACATCCCTCGAAACCAATTTTTCCAGACGGCGGCACGAGAAAAAATACTGCACTGCAGCCTTTCCAGAAGAACCCAAGACACAGGCCCTAAAAGCCTGCAAGACCCCCCCAAACCTGGACACAAACCCGAATCTGCAGCGCAGGAAATAAAACAAATCTCGGGTACTGGGAAATGTGATTACACCAGAGAAAACCTCAATCAATGGATGGTTTTCGCTGAGGAGATCGACCGGGAACCGGGGAGCCCGGGAACCCAAAACCCACCGAAATCGGCCCGGAACCAATAACCAGGAACCCGGGAACCCAGAACCGGGAACCCGGGAACCCAGCCTGCTACCAAAACCAGCCGGAAACTTGCGCCAAATCTGTCAACTTCTGCCAGGGCCCCAATCAGTGCAAAGACCAATGGGGGAACCATGCAAGAACGGATGTCGTTTCCTTGGTTTTTCCGTGTCCTGGCTTGTCCGTCCGTGTCCTGGCCTCCGGGGGCCCTGACTCTATTGGTGACTACCTACCAGACCACCCCAACCCAACCCGAAGACCCGAATTTGACTCGAATTTTAGGTGGGCGGGGGGCTACGGGTTCCATGTCGACCTCCCCCCCACACTGGAAATGGATGGCAAACTGAAGCCTTCGGGTTGCGTTGGGGTGGTTTGGTGGGTGGTGAATTGGGGGGCCCGGCGAGGGCCCCCAGGGGCCGAAAATAGCGAACAACCTTCGTCCTGATTTTTTTACGACGCGATCACGTCTGGGGCTGTGCCCTGGGCTCTGGGGGCCCGACCCACCTGTCGGCTACCCGCAGGAGTGACCCTGGGTAAGAGTGACCTTTGGTGCGCGGTTTATTGGGGGCCGCGGGGGGACCACACTCGGGCGCGCAAGACGCCAGTACCGCAGCGCGTTCGGCGATCGGGGGGCCCCCCTGCCCGCACAACAGGTCACTCCGGCGAAAGGTCGCTCTTACGTGTGGTCGAACCTGGGCGGGGGGGGGGGGCAGGCCGGAGACCGCGGCCAGGGCTCTTCCAGAGCTCCCTGGGGGGAGACCACCCACCCCTTCACAGCGGTGGCTCCCCCGCCCGGCCCGGAGCCGCTCCAAGAAATCGGTCCTCGCCGCTGGAGTTTGGGTCGGGCATGTCCCCCTGCAGCCGGAGCTTGGACAAAAAAGAAAGCGTACACCAAAAATGTCCAAAAAGTGTAAAGACAGAGTCGAAACATCGTCCCCAGTCGATGCTTTGGCTATGTTGGACTACTCCTCCTGTAGAGCCTCTCCCGAGGTCCGTCCGTTCTGGTCCCTCTTCTCGGGGGCGGCCAAGAGGGTGGCGCCCAAGAGGGGGTGGCGCAACTCATGGCCGGCGGCACGTGCGCGGTCCAGGCGGAGGCCAGGGACGCAATGGAATAAGAGGAGGCGCCATGAGATCTGGGAAATATCATGGCCCACGCCATGATGTCCCCCCCTAGCCATCATCCCCCTCTTGGCCGCCCCCGATCTTCTTGGGGCGGATCTCGTCGAGGCGACGAGACGCCTGCAGGAGGCCACTACGACGACTCCCCCTAAAAAACCGGACACCCCTCCAAATGCGACTGAATATTCTGTTCTGGACCCCCTTCGACGGGGCGCCTTGATACACCGGACCCCCCTAACTCCGATCCAAAGGGAGCGCCCTAATACACCGGACCGCCCCCGGTACAAACCAATGCGCCGTAACGAACCCGGACCCGGGGGACGATTCACCAGGGATCTGGAGCAACGCCAGGGAGGGTCGACGCGGTGAAACAACGGGGGAGCGTTGGGCGTGGCTTAATGGGGGGGTCATAAACGGGGGGGTCAGAAAAGGTCCCCTGTCGTGCCCCTTTCGGGCCCCTCCAGAGCCCCAGGGGGCTCGTTTAGGTACCGTTTGGGTACCTTTTCGGACCACCCTCGCCACCCCCCCATTTATGACCCTCTCATTACGCGGCGCCCAAGAGCGGCGAGGGGGACTGGCCCCCGGGGGGGGGGGGCACCGCCGATACAGATCAGAGGCCCCCCGGTGGCCCCGCACGCTCCCGGGGGCGGGGTGGGCCTCTCCGGGCCCCTCCTCGGCGCTCTCCGTGGGCGCCTGGGGAGGCGAGGCGTCCCCCCCCCCTCCCCCCTCCTCCTCCTCCTCCTCCCTCCTCCTCCTCCTACTCCGCCTCCTCCTCCTCTTCCTCCTCCTCCTCCTCCTCCTCCTCCTCCTCCTCCTCCTCCTCCTCCTCCTCCTCCTCCTCCTCCTCCCCCCCGAGCCACAGAGGAGAGAGAGAACTGTGCACATGCACCGAGCCTGGCCAGGCCCCCTCCTGACTACCTACCAGACCACCCCAACCCAGCCCGAAGACCCGAATTTCTTTCGGGTGGGGGGTGGGGGGGGTATGGGCTCCACACGTGTTTTTGTCGATGTTCCTGGACCCCCCCCCCCCACTAGAAATCGAGGGTGAATCTGAGCCTTCGGGTTGGGTTGGGGTGGTTTGGTGGGTGGTGACATCCTGAGCCCAGGATCGGTGCATACGCCTTCCTACCTTGGCCAGGAAGGCACCTGCACCTATCCTGGGACAAGGATGGGCCTTGCCAGGATCGGTGCATGTGCCTAGTTCTCTTCGCGCCTTACGCTGACCCGTGGCTTTCGAGCTGACTACCTACCAGACCACCCCAACCCAACCCGAAGACCTGAATCTAACCCGAATTCGGGTTTTTGCAACGTTCCCCGACCCCCCCGCACTGGAAATGGAGGGCAAACTGAGGCCTTTGGGTTGGGTGTGGTTTGGTAGGTGGTGACGAAGCAGAACTCGGCTCTCTGGCGGCCGTTTGGGACGATCTGGGCACCCCCAGAACGCTCCTGGCGAGGCGCAGCCGCTGGAAGGCATCCCGAGGCTGCAAAGCCGAGATGAGCGGACGAAGCGCCCGAAATCGAAACGTTGCCCCTGGCCATTTCCCGCCCCCCCGCCAGTGCGATCGGGTGTCAAGGAGTCCCCCCTTAAGCACATTCCCCCCTGACGTTACAGCTGAGGACGGAGGAATAGCATGGAATGGAGCGTACGGGACCTGGTCAGCAGCAGCTAGCGGCAGCAGTGGCATGTACACGGGGCCAGATTCTACACCCCAGCCTGCCTGCAGGGGGGGGGGGGGGGGGGGGGCGCCCCCCATGTGTATATACCCAGCGGGGGGGAGGGGCCCCCGCGGAAGAAGGATGAGACACTCGGAACTCGGATGTCCTCGAAAGTCCGCCATGGGCGGCACTGCCGGGGGTAAGCAGGACGCGACACCGCCTGCAGACCAAGCGAGCCCGAAGCTCGGGCTTCACAACAAGGGCAACACCGTCTCCACGTATCGACACGCGAAGTCGACACGAGAGCCGAGCGACCGGAGGATCGGAGCGACATCGGGCAACCTCACATCCTCCTCGGGAGGGAGGAGGGACGAGAGGAGGAGGAGGAGGAGGAGGAAGAGGAGGAGGAGGAGGAGGAGGAAGAAGAGGAGGAGGAGGAGCCCGATCCCCGCCCAACCTGGGGCAACCAAAAGGTACCGATGCGCCGCTGCTCCACGGACCTCTCCGGGGGTGCGCTCTGCCCAGCGCTTCGAGGCGAGTCCAGCGGTGGCGACGAGGGCCTCCGAGGAGGCCCCCAAAAAGAAGGAAAACGAGGAAAGGGTCGAGGTATGGGTACCTTCTCCTCCTCTGACAACCTCGGGAGCGGCCAAGAGGGGGGTGTCCAAGAGGAGGGGGTGCAAATCATGACCGGCGGCACGTGCGCGGCCCAGCGCGGGGGCCAGGGACTCAATGAAACAAGAAGAGGCGCCATGAAATCTGGGGAAATATCATGGCCCCCGCCATGATATTAACCCCCCCCTAGTCATCACCCCTCTCTTTGCCGCCCCCGACAACCTCCGAGCCCTGCAGGCCGTCGGAGCAGCGGACCGGGCGCTGGAGAGCGCGCTCCCCGAGGGGCTGCGTATGTACACCAGCCCGCAGGCGGCGGGCCAGGCGCCCCAGCAGGGGAGCACTGCGGGGGCGGCCGCCCGGGGGCCGCCCCCGGCTCGTCGTGCACCTCCTGCCCTCCCTCCGCGGAGACCTCCAGACCTCTTCCTCCTCCTCCTCCTCCTCCTCCTCTTCCTCCTCCTCCTCATCATCATCATCATCATCCTCAGCATCATCCTCATCCTCAGCAGCATCATCCTTATCATCATCATCATCATCATCATCATCATCATCATCATCATCATCATCATCATCATCATCATCATCATCATCATCATTATCATCATCATCACCATCCTTATCCTCATCCTCATCACCATCATCATCATCAGCAGCAGAAACATCAACATCATCGACCACCATCATCTCATCATCAGCCTCACCATCATCAACAACAGCCGCGACATCGTCATCATCATCACTATCATCATCACCACAAGCATAATCAGCAGCATCATCGTCATTATGAAGAATGTCATCGACAACTTCATCAGCAGCAGCAGCATCATCTTCATCACACGCAGCACGGACACCATGAGCAGCATCAGCATCACAATTAGCATCATCAGTATCGTCATCATCAGCATCGGCAGCATCAGCATTATTAGCAAACTGGCCATCATTAGCAGCATCATCACCACCATCATGCTTATCATCATGGTCAGCATCAGCATCGGCGTTCATCCGCATCCCAATCAGGAAAAGCATCATCAGCAAACCCTTTCTCATACTAACGTCCACACACATCACCGTAGTCGTTCGCGTCATCATCAACAGCATCATCATCGTCATCAGCATCCTCATCCTCATCCTCATTATCCTCATCATCGTCGTAATCATCATCAGTAGTATCATACTCATCATTACCACCACCTTCATCGGGATCACCGACATAATGATCAGCAGCATGATCACCATCATCATCATCATCATCATCATCATCATCATCATCATCATCATCATCATATCATCATCATCGCCCACGTCGTCATCAACGCCATTAGCATCGTAATCATCATCATCAGCATCATCTTCCGTATCAGCACCATCATCGTTGCCGTCGTCGTCGTGTTTCTCGTCCTCGTTGTCGTTACTTTAATCGTCGTCGTTATCGTCATCGTAATCGTCAGCAACATCATCACCAACAACATCAACACCAACATCCGTATGATCGTCAGCGTCGCTGGCATCGTCGTCATCCCGTCATTTTTGTCTCCACCAGCGTCATCAGCATCGGCACCATCGTCAACGGGGTCTTCATCGCCAGTATCATCATCAGCAGCATCATTATCATCAGCGTCGCCGTCGTCATCATCATTATTGTCATCATCATCATCAGCATCAGCATCAGCATCGTCACGTTCATCATCATCATCATCATCATCATCATCATCAGCATCATCGTCATCATCATCACGAGCAGGATCTTCTCAGCACCATTATCATCATCACAATCATCATCAATGTCAGTATCATTTTCGTCATCATCATAATCATCCGCACCATCATCGTCGTCGTAATCACCACCATCATCAACATCATCATCCTCATCATCCTCATCCTCTTCATCAGCATCAGCATCAGCATCATCATCGTCGTAATCAGCATCAGCATCAGCATCAGCATCATCATCATCATCATCATCGTCATCATCGTCATCATAAGCATCATCATCAAGATCATCATCGACCACCTCGTCTGCCCCGTCACCCCATCCCAACCCGTCCTCACTCTTCTCCCTCTTTCCCCCCCTGCCCGCCTCCCCAACCCCAACATCCCCCCCCCCCATCCGTCCCTCTGTCACCCCACCCCCTATCCCCTTCCCCCTCCCCTCGCCACTCCCTGCGCGAGGACCCCCGACGCGGGAAGAGGCCACCGCGTCGCAGGGTTTTGCAGGCGACCGCCTCAGACGTACATGGGCATCACGAGGCTCGGCTTGGGGCACATGGCCGCCGCCTGGGGGGGGGGGGGGGGGGAACCGCCAGCTGCACACCACGCCGATCCTGGCCAGGCGCATGTTTGGCCTTATGTCGCTCCCTACGCACTTAAGGGCCACACCCCAGAAATCATTTCGAGCACCCGGAAAGTGACGAAACAGTGTCGAAACAGTGTCGGACGAGCATCTCCCAGGGTCCGGCACGTGAACACCGTCGAGTTTCGGTACTTTGTTGGTGCTCGACATTCTTTCTGGTGGTCATGGCTAACGCAGGCTGCAACACCATAAGACCCACCAGGATCAGCGTGTACACACGCCGCCCCCGGCCAGCCGCAAGGGAGGCGGACGCACACGGATCCTGGGCCCCGAATGGGATGCGCCTGGAGATCGGCGGGGTGCCTGGCCGCCACCCTGCGAGCCTGGTCCCACGCCGACTCCTGGGGAGACCACAAAAGTGCAGATGCAGCTTCAGCTTAGGTCGGGCATGTCCCCGTACAGGCGGATTTTGGACGAAAAATAACACATGGTCAAAACATACCCTAAAGTGATCAAACATAGTAGAAACATCGTCCCCATACTATTTTTGACTATTTCTGAAATTCCTCCTGTAGAAGGACACGTCCGACCTAAAGCTACCCCCCGCACCTCTCCAGGCGTGCGCTCTAACCCGGATGTCGAAGCGAATCCAGCGGTGGCGGCGAGGGTCTCCCACGAGGCCCAAGAAGGCGAAGACGAGGGAAGGGTAGCGGTGTGGGTACCTTTTTTCCTCCTCCGAACTCCATCACGGTCTTGCAGTCAGGGTCGAACTTGATCGAGGGGAACTTGTCCGCGATCGCCTGGAGAGGCGGCGTCTGTTGGCTGCCCAGCGGCCGCGGCCGCGGAGGGCGGGCTGAGCGCACCCCATCTGTGCGCCAAGAGCTCTCCCTGCCGCTGTGTCGTCCTGCCTCCCTGCACCCTGCGTAGCCCACCTCCCTCCCCACCTCACCTCCTCCTCCTCCTCCTCCTCCTCCTCCTCCTCCTCCTCCTCCTCCTCTTCCTCCTCCTCCCCCTCCTCCTCCTTCTCCTCCTCCTCCGTACTCCTGTCACCCCCAAGTGGGCGTCGCTTCCTGGGGGGGGGGCACTTCTTGGGCCCCAGGAGGCCCCCTTTTTTGGTCCTAAAGGGCCCCTTTGATTTTGGGTCCTGGAGGGCCCCCATGGGGCCCTCTAGGGCGGCTCCTTTTCTGAAACCCTGGCTGCCTCGCCCCCATTGCGCGTTCCCCCCCCCCCCCCCCCCCTGCCAAGCTGGCCTCCCGCGAGGCCTTCGCGGTGCCACCCGCCACCCCGCCGCGCTGGCCCGTAGGCTCTCCTGGGTGCCTGGCGCTCGGCGCGAGAGGCCCCCCCCCCCAGCGGCACGCAGTGCGGACACGCAGTCCTGCCTCCTTACCCCCCGGGCCTCCCAGACAGCCTCCCTCCCTGCCTCCTGCCTCCCTTCCTCCTCCCTCCTCTCTCCTCCTCCTCCTCCTCCTCCTCCTCCTCCGAGCCACAGAGGAGAGAGAGAACTGTGCACATGCACCGAGCCTGGCCAGGCCCCCTCCTGACTACCTACCAGACCACCCCAACCCAGCCCGAAGACCCGAATTTCTTTCGGGTGAGGGGTGGGGGGGGTATGGGCTCCACACGTGTTTTTGTCGATGTTCCTGGACCCCCCCCCACTAGAAATCGAGGGTGAATCTGAGCCTTCGGGTTGGGTTGGGGTGGTTTGGTGGGTGGTGACATCCTGAGCCCAGGATCGGTGCATACGCCTTCCTACCTTGGCCAGGAAGGCACCTGCACCTATCCTGGGACTCTCCCTCCTCCTCCCTCCTCCTCCTCCTCCTCCTCCTCCTCCTCCTCCTCCTCTCCTCCGCCGCCCGCCTCCGCCTCCGCTCCGCCTCCTCCTCCCTCCTCCGCCTCCGCCTCCGCCTCCGCCTCCGCCTCGCCTCCGCCGCCTCCCTCCTCCGCCCCTCCTCCTCTCCTCCTCCCCTCCTCCTCCTCCTCCTCCCCTCCTCCTCCCTCCCCCTCCTCCTCCCCCTCCCTCCCTCCCCTCCCCCTCCCCTTCCGCCTCCTCCTCCTCCTGCTCCTCCTGCTCCTCGTCCTCCTCCTCCTCCTCATCATCATCAGCATCATCATCATCCACCCTTGTCCTTTTACATAACTTCTCCATGTCGCACCCCGAGGCCAGGGCGGGCAGGGCGTTTCGCCTGAGACTTCCCCATCTTCTAAGTGTGATTCCGAAACTTACACAGCGGCAGCAATTTCAAGCGTTGAGGGCGGGTCATTTTCAAAATGTGGCTCTCGTCTTCGCGTCGCGTACATCATTCGTTTTAAACATGTGTAAGCGTTTCACGGATTGAGGGCAAGTCATTTTCAAAATGTGGCTTTCGCCTGTGCGCCGCGCACATTCGTCTTAAACATTTGCAAGCGTTTCGCGGATTGAGGGCGGGTCGTTTTGAAAATGTGGCTCTCGTAGCGCACACTCGTTCTAAACATGTGCAAGAGCTTCACGGATTGAGGGCGGCTCCTTTTCCAAATGTGGCTCTCGCCTAAGCGCCGCACGCACTCGTTTTCAAAATTTACAAAAGTTCCACGGCTTTGCACCCATCAAAATACCAGAACTGGCGTTCTGGAACGATTCAGGATTAAGCGGGCGGAACAGTTAAGTTGATTCGCTGTGTTGTGAAGTCCCAGGAATGGCGTTCTGGCACAATTTCGGATCGTCAAGACGCAACAGTCAGGTTGATCCGTGGCGTTGGAATCCCGAGAACAATGCTTTGGCATGCTTCAGGGTCCTCAAACAGTTGTCATCCAACGAGGCACTTCCTTCAGAAGAGGGAGCTTGGAGGGCGGGTTTATTCCAACATTTCTGATGCCTCTTGGGTTTACAGTGGTCCTCCTCCTGGGAGGTAAAAATTGGGACCGTGCGTCCTATGGGGGAGGCTAGGCCTGCTCGAAACAGGCGCGACAAACAGCCAAGATCTACTCCAGGGGGGGGGGGAGGGGGGGGTGCGAGGGCCCGCGTCGATCGGCAAACGAATGAATAAAAAAACGCTCACCTTGCTTTTGCGTGATGGGCATGTTTTCCACCACCACGACAATAAGCTGGAGGGAAAAAGGAGGTGGAGGAAGAAGAGGAAGAAGACCAGGAATTTCCACAGGACTTTCCCAAGCCGACGCTGTCGGGGCGGAAAAAGAAAGAGGAGGATGAGGAGGAGGAGGAGCACCCCCTCCCCCTCCTACTGATGGTGGTGGAGGTGGTAAACAAGCCCACCATTGCGAGCAGGCGCTAATCGACGTTAGTCGACGCGAAATCGATGCTAGTCGACGCGACATCGACGCCAATCGACGCCACAACGGCGCTGTCTATTCGATTACCACCTTCTGGTCGACGCTGAAGATTCGTTTTTTCTGGGATTCTCGATGACGACCGTTAAGATACTGGGGATGCCCCCCCCCAACTGGTATCGTCACAGATCGCGCCGGCGTCGTTTGGGAAATGCCCGGCAAAGACGGCGCCGGCGCGAATCGTGACGTCACCAGCCCCCTCGCCCCCCCCTCTCCCCGGCAACGGCCGTTACCGCCAAAGGACACAACACACTAGCCCTAATGAGCTCTAAAGACGGAAGTGTGAGGGTACACGGGGCTCGCATGCTTTGCTACCGAAGTGATGCAGGGAAACGGCCCTGGGCCCCCCGTGGTACTCCGCCGGGCCACCTTTTTCATCCTGGGGTGGTTCGCCAATCCATGGGGCTCGGGCGGGACTCGAAAAGGCCCTGGAGTACCAGAGACGGCGAACCAAAACCGAGGACCCCTTTCCCACAGGACCCTTGTTTCTGCGGCAACTTATGGGGGCATCCTACACCACCTCGCTGGCTATTGGAAGTCGACGCAAAACGGCGCTTATCGAAGCTACATCGACGCTACATCGGCGCTAAATCGACGAAGTCGACACTATACCGGCAACATCGTATGGATTACCAAACGCTGCTCGACGCTAGTGCACTCTGGAAACGGAATTGCGAGGGTGTACAAGCTCCCACTACGTGCTACCGAACACATTCCACCAAGAGCGCCGCTCACGGTGGAATCTATGATGGCAGGCCCAGAGGTTGACACCAACACCAAAATCGGCGATGTGCCTCCACGCAGGGGAGATGATCCCGATATCAGCGATGGTGATAATACTCTGGCTTCCTTGGCGGCCGAAGTATTGCCACCAACACCGAAATCTATGATCATCCTCCCCCAGCGGGCGCACCACCTGTTTTGATGTTGGTGCCAATTTCGAAGCCTCCGATATGATCCACTTCCACCAAATCCCGCGCAACTTCCACCAGCCTCCGTCGAGGAAGGGGTCAGCCGCGGTCAGCCCCTCGGTCCCCGCTGCGGCAACTGGTACGTACTACCTCTGCGACAGTGCGGCGGTGGACGGTCCTGCCCCACCGCTTGAGAGAGGGCACCGGACAGAAGCTCGACTGCCACCGCACACCAGGGACAGCAAACGAAACTGTTTTTGCCAAGACCACACGGGTACACCTAAGCCGGTCATCCAAAAAAACAGATCCTGGCACACCTCCTCGACGGCCTTGTCCTCGATCTGCTTCTTCGATGCGAACTCGCAGATGAGCTTCTCGATGTCCGCCGGGCTCGGAGCCATGAGCTGCTCCTTGGGGCACATGGCCAATGCCTTGTCCCACGCAGCCTCCACCATCCCCTTGCAGTCAGGCACCGACGGGAACTTCGCCGTGACCACCTCGCAGATCTCCTCGACGGCCTTGTCCTCGATCGGCTGCTGCGACGCGTACTCGCAGATGAGCTTCTCGATGTCCGCCGGGCTCGGAAGCATCGCCTGCTGCTTCGGGCACATGGCCAATGCCTTGTCCCACGCAGCCTCCACCATCCCCTTGCAGTCAGGCACCGACGGGAACTTCGCCGTGACCACCTCGCAGATCTCCTCGACGGCCTTGTCCTCGATCGGCTGCTGCGACGCGTACTCGCAGATGAGCTTCTCGATGTCCGCCGGGCTCGGAAGCATCGCCTGCTGCTTCGGGCACATGGCCAATGCCTTGGCCCACGCAGCCTCCACCATACCCTTGCAGTCAGGCACCGACGGGAACTTCGCCGTGACCACCTCGCAGATCTCCTCGACGGCCTTGTCCTCGATCGGCTGCTGCGACGCGTACTCGCAGATGAGCTTCTCGATGTCCGCCGGGCTCGGAAGCATCGCCTGCTGCTTCGGGCACATGGCCAATGCCTTGTCCCACGCGGCCTCCACCATCCCCTTGCAGTCAGGCACCGACGGGAACTTCGCCGTGACCACCTCGCAGATCTCCTCGACGGCCTTGTCCTCTCGGGTCGGGCGAAAGGGGGGGGATAGCAAAAGGGGGGCTTTGAGAATCAACTCACGTAGCTCATTTTCCCGGCGCCTCCTGGCGCCAGAGACGGCTATGCATCGAGGAATGGAGCCTGTTTTTTGGGACTCAGGCAAGTTTACTTGCATGGCGTTCGCCCCCCCTCCCCCCTCCCTCGCTCCTCTTCGAGCGAATACTAGCGTGCAAGTGCCTTTCGACTTGCGTGATTTCCGCGCCCCCCCGAACGTGCCAGGCGTTTGCGGCTTGCTTCAGGCTCAGCCCCCCCCCTCGTCCATGCAAGTAAACTTGCCAGAGTCTAAAAAAAACAGGCTCATGGGCCCTTCGGTGGGGCCGAAACCAGCTGCATAAAACAAGGCTAAGATCGGGATAAATCGCTCCAGAGCGTTCCGGAGCGCTCTCAGAGCGTTCCGGAACGCTCTGGAGCGGCCGCGGTGCCCAATACATCCTCCAAACCCGCCGATTCTCGGAGATTTCGAGTTACCACGATCCAATTTTGTCCCGATCTTCGCGTCCTTTTACTGCATGCAGCAGATTTCGAACCCCCCCCTTTCCCAATCCCCCCCTTTCGTCCGGCCCGATCCTCGATCGGCTGTTGCGACGCGTACTCGCAGATGAGCTTCTCGATGTCCGCCGGGCTCGGAAGCATCGCCTGCTGCTTCGGGCACATGGCCAATGCCTTGGCCCACGCAGCCTCCACCATACCCTTGCAGTCAGGCACCGACGGGAACTTCGCCGTGACCACCTCGCAGATCTCCTCGACGGCCTTGTCCTCTCGGGTCGGGCGAAAGGGGGGGGATAGCAAAAGGGGGGGTTTGAGAATCAGCTCACGTAGCTCATTTTCCCGGCGCCTCCCGGCGCCGGAGGCGACCATGTATCGAGGAATGGGCCCCTCGGTGGGGCCGAAACCAGCTGCATGCAGCAGATTTCGTAACCCCCCCTTTCCCATTCCCCCCCTTTCGTCCGGCCCGATCCTCGATCGGCTGCTGCGAAGCGTACTCGCAGATGAGCTTCTCGATGTCCGCCGGGCTCGGAGCCATGAGCTGTTCCTTGGGCACATGGCCCGAAACGCCTTGCCCACGCAGCCATCACCATCCCCTTGCATCAAGCACCGACGGAACATTCGCCGGGACCACCTCGCAGAATCTCCACGACGCCTTGTCCTCGATCGGCTGCTGCGACGCGTACTCGCAGATGAGCTTCTCGATGTCTGCCGGGCTCGGACGCATCGCCTGCCGCTTCGGGCACATGGCCAACGCCTTGGCCCACGCAGCCTCCACCATCCCCTTGCAGTCAGGCACCGACGGGAACTTCGCCGTGACCACCTCGCAGATCTCCTCGACGGCCTTGTCCTCTCGGGTCGGGCGAAAGGGGGGGGATAGCAAAAGGGGGGCTTTGAGAATCAGCTCATGTAGCTGATTCTCCCGGCGCCTCCCGGCACCGGAGACGACTAACTATCGAGGAATGGGCACTTCGGTGGGGCCGAAACCAGCTGCATGCAGCAGATTCCGTAACCCCCCCTTTCCCAATCCCCCCCTTCCGTCCGGCCCGATCCTCGATCGGCTGTTGCGAAGCGTACTCGCAGATGAGCTTCTCGATGTCTGCCGGGCTCGGAAGCATCGCCTGCTGCTTCGGGCACATGGCCAATGCCTTGGCCCACGCAGCCTCCACCATCCCCTTGCAGTCAGGCACCGACGGGAACTTCGCCGTGACCACCTCGCAGATCTCCTCGACGGCCTTGTCCTCTCGGGTCGGGCGAAAGGGGGGGGATAGCAAAAGGGGGGCTTTGAGAATCAGCTCATGTAGCTGATTCTCCCGGCGCCTCCCGGCACCGGAGACGACTAACTATCGAGGAATGGGCACTTCGGTGGGGCCGAAACCAGCTGCATGCAGCAGATTCCGTAACCCCCCCTTTCCCAATCCCCCCCTTCCGTCCGGCCCGATCCTCGATCGGCTGTTGCGAAGCGTACTCGCAGATGAGCTTCTCGATGTCTGCCGGGCTCGGAAGCATCGCCTGCTGCTTCGGGCACATGGCCAATGCCTTGGCCCACGCAGCCTCCACCATCCCCTTGCAGTCAGGCACCGACGGGAACTTCGCCGTGACCACCTCGCAGATCTCCTCGACGGCCTTGTCCTTTCGGGTCGGGCGAAAGGGGGGGGATAGCAAAAGGGGGGGTTTGAGAATCAGCTCACGTAGCTCATTTTCCCGGCGCCTCCCGGCGCCGGAGGCGACCATATATCGAGGAATGGGCCCCTCGGTGGGACCGAAACCAGCTGCATGCAGCAGATTTCGTAACCCCCCCTTTCCCATTCCCCCCGTTTCGTCCAGCCCGATCCTCGATCGGCTGCTGCGACGCGTACTCGCAGATGAGCTTCTCGATGTCCGCCGGGCTCGGGGCGGTCTTGTTCGGTGAGCAGTCTTCCAAGGCATGCGCCCAGGCTGCCTTCAAGACGAGGTTGCACTCCACGGGGTTCACCTGATCTGGCAGTCTCCACAACATGCCTGGCCACTCTTGCTGTTTTCGTAAATCTCTCTATCTATGCGAGCGCATTCCAAACGGTGCCTTCAAGAAACCGAAGCATGCCGCAATTGATTCACGCCCCTCGTCCTCCTCCGCCTCCTCCTCCTGCCCGCCGCTCTCCTTTTCCGCATCTTTCTCCTGGCCCCGTCTTCTTCTCGCTCAACGCCGCCACTCCACAAATCAGCTGGGATATGCGCGGTGCCAAGGACGTGACGGTGGGCATGGGTTGAGCAGGGCCGGGGGGTGAGGTCTGCAGAATACCCCGAGCGGACATCAAAGAGCGCAACCCACCTGTTCGGCCAGGTTGAAACTGATGCACTACACCGGGCGCCAAGAGCCAACACTTCAGACACTCTTTTCGTCAGCGGCGAGGCGGCGAACTCCGCTCCAGCGAGAAGCTAAAACGGGACACTTGCTAGCGAATTGGCCGGCGGGCAAAGAGAAAGGGGGGGACGAACACTTCAGACACGAGCGAATGGCTGGATGCTGCGCGCAGCTTCGTCGGCTCAACCAGCGAGGCGCTGGGCCACTTTGGCGCCCTTGCCGCGGTGGCCCCTGCAGAGGAAAGCGCTCTCTCACCGTCGGCCCTGCTCAACGCCTGGGAGGGGGGCCCGGGGACCCGAGCTTGCCAGAGGGCATCGGAGGGTGCTCGCTGCCCCCAAGGCCCCCGGCACCCGAGACGCCTCGGAACGGGGCGGCTTCTTCCCCATCCCCCGTCCCCCATCCCATCGGCCTCCGGACCCCTCCTCCTCCTCCTCCTCCTCCTCCTCCTCCTCCTCCTCCTCCTCCTCCTCCTCCTCTTCAAGGCCTGGGGGGCCCCAGGGACCCACCGATCCAGCTGGCCCCCCCCCACCACCAGCTCCTCCTCTGCGGGGGGCGGGCTGCCCCCACGGGCCCGCCAGGGCCACGGCCCCCGCAAGGCCTGGCCGTGGCCGCGGCGCGGCTCCGAACGACGCCTGGCCCAACGGGGGGAGGGGAGGTCGGAACGTTGGTTCCCTACCTAGGCTCTGCCTAGAGGGTTCTTACCCTCTTTCTTAAAAGGGTTGGGCAGTGCACACCGCCCCGGGCGGTTCCCCCAAGATCCGCCCCGCGGTTCCCCCAGTTACGTCCCCTTAGCTTAGCGTTGTTTATCTCATCTTAGCTTAGCTTGTTTCATCTTAGCTTAGCTTAGCTTCATCGTAGCTCAGGTTTACCATAGCTTAGCTTACCTTCATCTTAGCTTCGCTGAGATATAGCATAGCAGAGCGCAGCAAAGCATAACATGGCGTAGCATAGCATAGCGCAGCACAGCATATCGTAGCATAGCCCAGCATAGCATATAATATCGCAGCATATCATAGCATAGCATAGCATAGCATAGCGCAGCACAGCACAGCACAGCATAGCACAGCGCAGCATAGCATTGCATAGCATAGCAAAGCATAGCATCGCATATCATAGCATAGCATAGCGAAGCGCAGCTTAACATAGCACATCATACCATAGCGTTGTTTATCTCATCTTAGCTTAGCTTGTTTCATCTTAGCTTAGCTTAGCTTCATCGTAGCTCAGGTTTACCATAGCTTAGCTTACCTTCATCTTAGCTTCGCTGAGATATAGCATAGCAGAGCGCAGCAAAGCATAACATGGCGTAGCATAGCATAGCGCAGCACAGCATATCGTAGCATAGCCCAGCATAGCATATAATATCGCAGCATATCATAGCATAGCATAGCATAGCATAGCGCAGCACAGCACAGCACAGCATAGCACAGCGCAGCATAGCATTGCATAGCATAGCAAAGCATAGCATCGCATATCATAGCATAGCATAGCGAAGCGCAGCTTAACATAGCACATCATACCATAGTATCGCATATCATAGCATAGCACAGCGCATCATGGCATAGCATAGCTTAGCATGTCATAGCATAGCAGGTCATATCATAGCATAGCACATCGCATCATAGCATAGCATAGCATAGCGCATCATAGCATGACACAGCATAGCATAACATAGCATAGCAACTAATGCTGCTTTCCTAGGGGCTCCAACTTCTAGGTAGGGTCGCTGGGGTAATTTTAGGCTGGCAGCGATAGGCAGGGGATGGCTGCGCTGGCGGGAGAGCAGACACACAGCGGGGATGCCGTGGACACTAAGTGTGTGCCACCACGCAGGAAAAGTGGAATGGGAGGTGGGAGCGGGGAAGAACAACGGGGATACCGTTGGAGCTAAGTTTCTGCCACCATGCAGGGAGAGTGGAAAGGGAGAGGTGGGAACAGGGGAGCACAACGGGGATACCGTTGGAGCGAGGTTTATGCCACCGTGCAGGGAGAGTGGAAGGGGGAGGTGGGAACAGGGGAACACAACGCGGGGATACCGTTGAAGCTAAGTTTGTGCCAACATACATGGAAAGCGGAATGGGAGGTGGGAGCAGGGGAACACAACGGGGAGCCGTTGAACCTGAGCCCGTGCCACCGTGCAAGAGACAGGGGAGGGAAGGTGGGAGCAGAGGAACAAATCGCGGGGATCCCGTTGAAACTGGTGCTGTGTTAGCACGCAGGAGACATGGAAGGGAAGGGGGGCAGGGAGGGCGGCCGACGGAGAGGGGAGGCAGGAGCAAGGAGCGGCGACGCCACCACGATCACCAGCGCGAGGCGCCGGGGAGGGCGCCCCTCTGGTGGCGTGCCCCCCCCCCCCCCTCGCTCGGGAGATCCCCAACGGTGGAGGCCCGTCCCCAAGAGACCTTCCACAAGAGACCCAACCCTGAGACCCCAGGACGTCCATGGACCTTTTGTGTGGGACCGTTACGCTGTCCATCGCAGAACCGTCGAAACCCAAGAAACCCAGGGAACCCTGGAGGCAAGCAAGCAGGGTGGTTCTTGGCATGGGCCTCCACAGTACCAGTTGACCCATCTATAAAAAGGATGCGCGGTAAGGATGCAAGGGCCTTGGACGCCCATTTCGAAGCTCTTCTAGCGAAGCGCGGCCAACGAAAGCGGCCAAGGATGGACCGAGGGGAAGGTTGCACAACCTTACTATGCGGGTTGACTGTATCCCCAGCCCCGGGGGGGGAGCATCGTGGACCCTCTCGCTGGAGGTAGGCCCCCCTGGCGGCGGTGGCGTGCCTCCCCTTGCCCTTAGGTCGGGCGTGTCCTCCTACAGGCGGATTTTGGACGAAGAAAAAAACAGTCAAATAAAAGTAGTCAAAACACATTCAACAAATCTACTGGAATACCCGGAATATCGTCCCCAAACTTCCACATTCCCCAGAGGGACGATCCCGACTTCACCTTACCCCCAGCAAAGGGAACGACTCCGCGCGCCCCCCCTCGGCCCTGGGCTTGCCAGAGGGCATCGGAGGGGGGGCCCGCTGCCCCCAGGCCTAACACCCGACCTGCTTCGAGTCGGGGCGGCTTGTTCCCCCTCCCCCCTCCCCCTCCTCCCCCTCCTCCTGTTCCTCCTCCTCCTCCTCCTCCTCCTCCTCCTCCACCACGTCCGCCTCCGCCTCCGCCTCCACCTCCGCCTCCTCCTCCTCCTCCTCCTCCTCCCTTTCCTGGTCCCCCTCCCCTCTCCAAACCCCCCTTCTGCGAGGCTGGAGCTTGCACGCAGATCCGCCGCCTCGGGAACCGATATGCTCCCGAACCACGGGGAGAGCCAGCGGATATGGATAGTTCCGGGCCTGCCTGCGGCAAGTTCGCGTCGTGTCGACCTCGGCGCTGGTTCCTGACACCGTTCAACATTGAACGATCGGCCGTTTCCGAAACGTCCAAATCGTTCCACATTGAACGATTCTGGGTCGCCCGCGTTCAACGTTGAACGCCGCTGGCGGGGTCGCCGCCCGTCGACACGACAAGGACCTACCGCACCAGGAGGGGCGCGCGTTTTTTTCTTGTTATTGACATATGTTACATTTGCACCAGGCAGCGAGGGAGAACGGGAACGGAGCGGGGAGGTAGGAGTGGTTCGGGATCACGGAAGGGAGCGAGGGAGGGGAAATGGAGGTAGAGGGGACACAAGAGGAGGGGTAGGGAAGGCAAACCGAGTGGAGGGAAGGGGAGGAAAGGGGATTAGAGTGGAGGGAAGGAGAGGCAGGGAGGAAAGTATGCAAGAAGTGGAGGGGATGAATACATGTAGGGACGAACGACATCAGGGAATGAGGAGTGAAGGTGTGCAGGCATGGGGGGATAGGAATACATAATAGTGGACGCGTGAAGGTATGGAGGCTCTCAAGCTGTCATGCGACCCTCACAATGTAAAAACATATGGACCCGCCCGCCTCGTCTTTGACCTTCTCACAGACATACTTGATCGCCTTCTCCTAGGGCAAAGGCAAATTGGTCTCCACCATAACTCATTATTTTGATATTGCTCATGCTCCTCCTCCAACTGTCCTTGCCCAAACATCCTCACGCTAATCCACCTGATCGTGCTGATCATCATCCTGCCGATGCTCACCCTCATCCGCATCCTCCCCCTCCCACTCCTCATCATCATCAGGCTCCGCCTACGTGTCCTTCTCCGTACCCTCCTGGCTCGGGCGATGGCTGGACTGGGTTCAGCGGGACCTGGTTTAATGATCTGTGACGGGGACGCCCCCCCCGTCCCATTTCCACCAACCGGAATTGATGCCAGCCGGAAAACACCAACTACGGCATACCAGGTTTAGTGATTTCTGTCCATATTTCGGGCTTGGGGGCCCAATCACTCACCGGCACCCATTAACCGTTGGCTATTCCCCACTGGCCCCCATCACCCTACGTCCACGGAAGAAAAGGGTCAGCCCGACACAAAATTGGAGGGTGCACCATCGAAGTGGATGTTGCGATAGGTGCACTCCACCCCACTGGGGCCTTCGACGGGCCTCTTCACGAGCTCGGATCCGCTCGTGAAGGCGAGCCAGTCGAGCTTCATACGGGACAGCGCTGTCCAACGCACAAGTGGCACTGCTCGCGACGGTGGCCCTGGACACGACGTCGAGCGGACGCGACCGACACACCGACGCGAGGGGCGGGGATGTCCCACTCGATCACCGCACGGATACGAGGGTTAGGGCGCCAGCCCCCGACAAAAACGAAACAAATTCATGTCGCCTTTGCGGATCGGAGGGGCGCAGGCTCTGGCCAGCTTAATGGCTTTCTCCTGACTCACGCTCAAGAGGGACCCGCGTGTAGCCTCCTCGCTCTCAGCACTGCACTGCACGGCGCGCAGGGAGCGAGGCGAGAGCCCGACACGGCAACCAGCTGATGCCCGAGAGGGTTTTCCGTGAGGGGCTTCAGAAACGACGGGGTCCCGAGACATCCACTTATCGGCAGGTTGCGGCACGAGGGCGCAACCTTGAAACAAAAAGCACATTGCCAGCCCAGATCACTCCACACCCCAGACTGCCACCCCTCCTCACGAGAGTTAGTTCTACGTCGCAGCACCGCAGGCCGACGCCAGCGCTGAGGGCTGTCCCCAAGGAATCACGGGAGGAGAACACCAGCTAGAGCAAGAAAATCGGCGGCCCGACTCTTCGCGGGATCGAGTGATGCCAACAACTCATGTGCAGGGGGGGTGGAGGCTGGTGGAAAGCTTCGCGTGATGATCGGCAACACTGTTGGCCTCAGCCCAGCGGCGCTCCTCGGCATCGAAACTCCCTGTGATAGATGAGCCTTCACATGACGAGCCGAAATGAACTGGTGGCCCCCGAGGCCACGACCGAATTTTAAGATACCTGCAGCCTGGTTGGAAGCAGGCAACTGATTGGATACATGCTGCTGGAATCGGCGAATCGCCGCCACGCGGTCACTGCCAGCCAGGGTCTCACGGTCGGCAATCTGACCAATCAAGCAGGGGGCAATACTCTCAGCAATGCTCGGAGACCGAGGGAGATAACCAACCACAGGCTCACGCATGATAGCGACGGGCACATCTGATGCAGGGGAAAAAAACGGCGATGGACCAATATTCGCGCTCCAACTCAACTACACCTGGTCGCGGGCACGACCCACCTGGAGCGGCATCAAGGCGCGCCCCCTGATGAGGCGATACAATAACTTGAGGGATTTTTTTTGTTTTAAAAACAAAAAACGGCCCTACCCTGGGTCACAAGTGCGTGGTCTGTAAGACTCCTGGGAACCCCCAAAGCCTAGAGCCGCCAGGACGCGGCACATCACGCAGGGTTTACCCTGTCAGCCCATAGGAGTTTCAGCTCACAGCGCCGTTTGAACCAGGGTAGGGGCGTTTGTTTATGCCCTTTGAGCAACTTCAACCGCCACGTCGAGCGTCTCCCCCCGGGGGCCTTCGAGGACCACCTGGTCTGCGCAGGAAGGGGGCGGCGCAACCTTGTCATCATGCATCAACGCCCCCTGCGCAGAAAGAATAATTTCCCCCAAGACCAGCCTGCAAACAGAGCGCACTGACCATGGAACCTGCACGAGCGGCATCTACCTCAGGCCACGTGCTCTTGCACAGGCAATGCTTGAGAGGCTGCCTCTGGCCACGTGCACAGATACCGTCGCAGAGGTGGGCCCAAACCCCGCGGCACGAGCAGCTCCCGATCAAGAATTCCGCGAGGCCAGGAAACCGACGCGACCGATCACCGAGCACCGATCGAACGAAGTCGAGCGAGGCCCTGGATCCTTCTTGAGCTCCCAGCTGCGTGGCTAAAGAAATCTCGCGGCGCCTTTGAATTCCTGCTAGCCAGAGGACAGTTAGAATACCCAGGGGCGTGCGACTGACGCCAATGGCGGGGCCCCTGTGGTCCAACCATCTAGCCCCAGAGAGCGCGCTCCACCCAGCTCGGCGCGCGGCGAGGACAGCACGCGAAAGTGGGTCGCGGCTGGAAGGCCAGTCCTTGGCCTCACATGGCGTGTCGCCTGTCCGAAGCCGAAGCAGGCGCGCGCGAGTGGCCAGAAGGTGGTCGCAGACCTCGGCCTGCCATGGCAACCCGGGCCACTGGGTCGCAGGCGCGATGACTGACGCTCCCACCCCATCGCAGAGCAGCGCAGTTCTGCTGGTAAGGCTCGCGCCACCACGCACAGGGAACTGCCCTCGAGCCACGCCCCGACGGCACTGGAGCCACTCCGCGTTGCTGAGGCCGACGACCTCGCCGCCGTGTGCGGCCTCGGCCATGGCACCAGCGCGGATTACTGCGCCGATGGACTTGGTTTTCTGGCAAGTGATTACCTTGTCCAAACGCTCGAGCTTCCGCATGCGCTTCACCATGTGCTGACGACGCTTGGCCCGCTCGAGAACAACTCCCTTCTCCTCGCGGCGACTGCCCTCGCTGACGTCGACCCCGGCGCGCACGGCGCCGCGGCGGGCAACTGAGGCCGTGGGCCCGAGCGCACTCGCCATATCCAGCGCAAGAAAGGCTGGCACCTACACTCACGAGCTTGCCTTTGACAACAGCACCGGGCTCATCCACGGCACGCTTGCAATCAACCATGGCCGCCGCCATCGTGGAGGCGGCGGTGCTCGCTGCTCGCAGTATTAGATGCCGCGCGGATGGGGTTGTCATCTATGCAGCTGAGGAACTGGATGCACGGCTGCTTAACCAGGAAACAATCGCACTCGCAAGCAGACCACACTTTGACCGCAAAGTCGCAGAAAACACCACTAGCAGGGATACCGCACTGCATCGTGAACATGCGCAGACGGCCCGTGGTCGGTGCTGACCACCGTAGGCTGGGAGACATCACGAAACTTGGTAGCGCGGCGGAGGACTCGCGAACCTTCAGAACAGCCATCGCGCGCCAGTCCTCGCACGGCTGGTAGCCCCCCTTGGAGGCGCCACCCGACGCAAGCTCGACGTCAGGCGCGATCTCGTCCAAGAACTCGCGGCAGGCCTCCCCGTTGAAACTGGCCTGCGCCAGGGCGCGCGCCTGCTGCGCGGAGCAGTCGGGCCGCCTCGACAGGCCGCGCCCGCGGTAGGAACCCCTGGGGGAACGAGAGAGCCCCTTCTGCATGCTGGGCCATGTCCCGATGGGAGAGGCTGGCAGGCCGCTTGAGCGCAATGAGACAAAACAGCGAATTTTGCAACCACTGCCAAACCTCGGAAAACGCCAGCATGTCCGACGGATCCTTGATAGCGCAGCGCGCGCCACTGCGTCCAGGCCTAAACGGCCGCGCGACGGCTGGGGCATCGCAATCCTCGTGGCCGGCCGCGGCCGCGATAGACGCTGCAGCTCGCGCTGCAAAGTGGCCCCAAGCAGAAAACAAGAGGCCCCATCCGACACCGGCGGCGGCACTCTCATCGGCACGCGCCTCCGCCGCACCCTCAGCCGCGCGCAGCGCAACGCCCCAAGGCGGCGGGGGCAGCTGCGGGCCGAGAGTGACCTGCATGCCCACCCTCGGCGCGACAGTGTACACCAGCTTCTTGGCATGCTCGGCGTCGCCTTTCAATGATAACTGCACTGGGCGATGGCTTCGCTTGGGCAGAGTTGCCGGTACTTCCACCGGACGCAACGGTGGCGGTACACACGGTAACGCAATCAACATGAGCAGGGCACTGGCTAGCCTCGAGCTCAACTGGAGGCAGGTGCCAACCACCATCAATGATGACGGGGCCATCCAGAGCCTCGGCTGCAAACCCAAGCTCCTGCAACAGACTGCCGTTGCGCCTGCCTGCTCCCTCGCCCGCGACGAGGTAGACAGTGAAAGGTGGAAACCACAACTCAACCCAGGTAGATCGATAACAACGTGCTGAACCCTCATCTCGTGCACTCCTAGGGCCGGGGGGCAGATGCCGAGGCTGTCACGAACGGCGACCGCAACGCCTGCAGAAGGCACCGCGCCCACGGCGGGCATGTCCGGAAGCGCCATCAAGCGCCACCCTCTGCCAGTACACCGTGATGCCAGGGCCTCGACGTGATCGGCGACGTGCCCGAACTCCTGCAGAAGGGCAACGCTCGCCGCTGTGCTGACGAGCCTCCGCTTGACAGACAACTTGCCACCACTGGCATTGTACGTCTCGGTGCTGAACTCAGCAGTGGGTAGGGGCCTCGACGCCATGGTCAAACCTGATGCCGAGCACGCCTGGCCGCCACTTCGGACCACATGGTATCCAAAGCCTGCATGAAGGCCTCGACGCCGCCCTCCTCACGGGAGCGAAAGAGGCGAAACTTCTGCTCACCGGTGGGCGCCACCACTTCGACGTCATCGCCGCCATCGCTGGGGACGGTCTTGTCTGCAGCATCGGCCGAGGCATCATCGGCAGCACGGGGGGTATCCCCATCACCGCTAGCAGCGCTTGGCCGAACAGCACACTTGGCCGAGAGCATAGCCTTGAGCTCGGTCCGCTGCTTAGACTTGAGGATCTGTGCGAGCTCGGGGTGGTCGGTGGCATCGGCCTCGTCGATGTGAAGGGCACCCAGCGCTCCGACTGCGCCGACTGACGGGCCGCGACACTTTTGGCGGACCCAGCTTCTTCGCTTCGATCGCCTCCTTGCGGTGCTCGATACCCTTCGCCAGCTGCTCGAGCTGGGCCTGCTTCTCGAGCAGTTCCTTCTCCATCTTCTCCAAGCTGGTCCTGCTGCGCACGACGGTGAAAAGGCCTGGGGGGACAGAGCCGCACGCTTCTCGGCACGCAACTCCTCCAACTGCGTCTCGATGGGACCTCGGAAACCCCTGTTGCGTTCGTCAGCTGCAGGAGGCTTCTTGAGGGTCTCCTCCAGCTCGCTGATACGCTCGCCAATCTTGATGCTCTGCAAATTCTGAAAGTCGTTCCCGCCTGCACCTGGACCGGCATCATCACCCGACTGCCATGGGGGCGTCTTCCCTTGGGCTTGGGGCACACAGCATCGGACGGCGCCAGACGCTACTCGATGGCCTGCATCCAAGCGGGCAGCTCCTTCGGGATGCCAGCACCTCCACCCGCTGGCCCCCTGGGCGCTGCACGGGAGACGATGAAGGAAGGAACCTGGCGGCCGCAGAGGCACTGGACGCGGCAAGCCCAGCTCTCCGTGCGGCCGCACTGCCCCCAGCTCCAGTGGGGCTTGCGCTGGCCACAGAGCACGGTGGCCGCTGGCGACTGCGGCACCATGCCTGGACCGAGAGAGACGCGCCAAGGCGGGGCGGACCACCTCGACGCTCACCCTGGGGTGGACAAGGGGAAGGAATGAAGACTGGCCGCGGACTTGCGGTATCCACGTGTTCCCCTGTGTAACAAAGCATCTTGAGCCAAAATGGTTCCAGGGGAGGCGGATGAGGAGGAGGAAGAGGAGGAAGAGGAGGCAGAGGACGAGGAGGAGGAGGAGGAGGAGGAGGAGGAGGTGGGAAAACGTCCTGCTCCCCTCTCCCCACTCCTGGGGAAACCAAAAAGATACCGATTCCGCTACTCCCCGCGCCTCTCCCGGGGTGCGTTCTGACGAGGAGTTCGAGGCGAATCCAGCGGTGGCGGCGAGGGCTCCCGAGGAGCCCCGGAACGGGGAAAACGGGCGAGGGGGTAGAGGCGTGGGTACCTTTTTCCTTCTTTGAACCCCTCCCCGCTGCGCCAGGCAGGAGGGGGGTGAAGCGACGAGCGCAGCAACCGGCACGAGCGCGCCCAGCTCGCGCCGCTTTCGGGCGATGGGCATGGGTGGGGCGCGCGGACTCTCGCGCCTCGGGGCGGGCCCAGAGGGGGCGGAGGAGGCGCACAAAGGGGGAAGATCGCTGAGTCAGGACCCCCATCCAGACACGATCGCGTCGTGGACACAAATCAGGTCGGGAGGTTTTTGGCCCCTTTCGGCCTAGGGGGGCCCTCGCCGGGCGTCGGGACCGTCAAGAAAGGATCCGGATGAAAAACCCGTCCTGGGGAAAGGGTCGGGCCTTCCACGGACCCCGTCTTAAAAAAGTCAGGACGTCGCATGTCTGGGAATCGTGTTGTTCAGGAGACGACTTCGCAGTCATAAGATTCAGGCCGATGCTCAAGCCGGGCACACAGAGCTACAGACAAGAATACACGCAATCTGGCGCACAACGTTGGGGTGCTTGATTGCGAAGGCGGCGATAAAGAAGAAACAGCATCACAATTGTTCATGTCTACATCACGTTCGCGTCGTAGTGTGATGCCGCTTCTCATCACAGGGGAGGAGCGAGGCGCTGGGTTCGAGACGTCCAGTTTGGGGGTCGTCGTCCTTCCCTCTCTGAGACTCTGGGGGGGCTTCTCATCGCCACGGCCGGGTCCCCCTCAAAATCTGGGTCAGAACGCACCACAGAAAAAGAGAGAACGATTTGAAGGAGGGAAGAGAAAGGAGGAGGAGGAGGTTCGACTGTGCGCAGCATCAGGCAAGCCTGCGTCAAGACGACTCATCTGAAGGGAAGAGCAGCCGCGGGAGGGCAAGGGCAAGGGGAAGACGGAGAGAGGCGGGAGAGGGAGGGAGAGAGGGATGATGAAAGGCTCACCAACGCCCCCGTTGTCCTCAACATCCTTCTGGGAGGCGACATCGCAGAGCTCCTTCTTGATATCTTCAGGGATGTCTGCAGGGAGGTCGAAATGCCTTCTGTGCTTGGGGCAAGCGGCCGCCGCCTGCTGGGGAGAAGACGCGTCGGATGCCGCCAGCCTCTCTCGTTTCGTTTATCGTTTTTGTTGTTGTTCTCTCTTTCTCTCTCTTTGAAACCCTCTCTCTCTCTCTCTCTTTCTGTTTATATGTATATATATAAGTACATATATTGTTGTTGTGGTTCTCTCTCTCTCACTCTCTCTCTCTCTCTCTTTGATACCCTCTCTCTCTCTCTTTCTGTCTCTCTCTCTCTCTCTCTCTCTCTCTCTATATATATACATACATTCCTATTGATAGATCCAGAAGGCGTCCCGCGGCAGCGCCGCTGGCGGCAGCAGGGCCCTTTGACGGGGACAGCCTGTAGCGGCCACGGGGCGCAGACCCGCCACGGCGCCATGATCCCGGCCACCACCCACAGCTCCGCGCCACGAACTAGATCCTCTTCCGAGGGAGACCCACGAACTCCACCCACAACTCCACGCCACGAACTCCACGCCACGAACTCCACCCTCGACACGAACTCCACGCCACGCACTCCACGCCACCCACAACTCCACGCCACGAACGCCTCGAACTCCACGCCACGAACTCCACCCACAACTCCACGCCACGGGAGATCTTCTGGCCCCCTTGTCGCAGATCCCGTGGTATACGAAAAAAATAAATTGCTTGTGGCGCGAGGGTGTGGTGAGGACTTGCCTTCTAGATGGTGTGGCAGACGGCAAAAACAGACAACACCGAGTCGGGAGATCAGATCGAATCGGAATACGCGTCGGATCGGGCTTCATCGGCACGGAGTCATGATCGAATCGGGCAGTCTGCGCCCGGATGCCCGGATACGCTGTGAAAGCAAATGGACGCATCGAATCGCCGGAAAACGACATGAGATCGTGCCGAGCTGGGTGATCTCAACTTCTTCTTAGACCGATCGCGTCGGCATGGATCCTGAAACGTGTGCGGGTTCCGCTCACGCTTGTGGAGAGGGCCTCTAGGAATGGCTGATGGACGCTTCGCAACGCGCGTGGGCGACTGCAACAGATTCACGCTCGGCAGTTTCGGCAGCGATGCCAACTGGCTTCACAACCTTGGCACGTCGCTCGACGGCTTCCGCGGCTGAATAGACCACAGACCCCATCGAGCGACGTGAAAGTGTCCATTTTGCGGCGACGCATGAGAATTACCGCTGGTCGCCACCACTGACGCAGGGCTGGGCGGCAACGAGTTGCAGCACAACTGTGCGAGAGAAGGAGAGAGAAAGAGATAGAAAAGAAAAAAAAAAAAAAAGGAAAAGAGAGAAACAAAAAAAGACAATAAACGGACTGATTGAATATCATACCGGGTGAACTGAAGACGGCTCCATCCAGATCTGGACACAAACTCACACTCTAGTCAATTCGGGACCACCTCCCATCCAAACATCGTCCCCACTATCACAACACTGGCACCATGAAAGCAGATCGCCATCATGTCCACAAGCGCTCCCACCACCACTACACCGCCGCCCCACAAAGCAGGCCTTGCCGGAACATGTCATAGACGCACGAAATGAAATACACGGCAACCGAATGCGTTTACAGAAGACGCCATGCATCTGCCTCGAAAGCATTGGCCACACAGCATAACACCAATGCTGAATTACCACATCATCGAAAAGCCAGCGTTATCACAAAATCTTAAATCTTAATCGTCACCAATTCGCAGCAGCACTGCTTTCTGGAGTGCCCCTGAGCTATCCCGAGCGCCCTTGACTTAGAAGCACGCAGCGTGCTGCCACAAACGATCCTCCAGCGTGCCTTCACCGAAATAGTGAGTAGTGGAGTGCCCCATGGACGATACAATTGTGAGTGCTCCAGGGATGTGTGCTCCCGTGATGGGATACTCGGTTGTGAAAGCTCCAGGGATGTAGGATTAGTAAAGAAAAGCCCAGGACCCACGACTTCCCGGAGCTCTCTGGTTTCCCGAAACGTCGTGAGCACTTCCGGACTGCGTCGCGCGAGGCTTCTCGAGGCTGAGCCCGCCCAACACAATCTAAAGATCTCTAAATCAGTTTTCTTGTTTGAATGAAAATCGTCAAGCACTTTTTGCAATATATCTTTCAAGATCTGCGCAATATCTCTGTAAAAAATGCTTGAAGAGGCGCCAAAAGGCAGAAGGTGCACTCCAGAGGTTCCAAGATGCCCCTAGACACCCAGTGAGGCCCACAAGAACCTCAAGAGAGGCTCCAAGACGTCCAAAGAGAGAGAACACAGACAGCCCCAATTGACAGAACCCAAGAATGTTTTAATATGTCTCGCCTTCTCTGCTTCACAGCTCCCAGCTCAATACGGCGTCCAGATGGCTTCGGGTTCAAAGACTGCCCAAGATGGAAAGAACCACTCCCCAAGAGGCCCTCAAGACGGCTCAAGACAGCCTTCGGGGGAGTCCAAGCAAGCCCAACAAGGCCCAAAGACGGCCCAAGGCAGCACCAGACAATCCGAAAGAGACCCCCGCAGGCCCTAGACGTTCCGAGACGGATCAAGGGGATTACCCCCTAAAGGCCGCCGACAAACTACACAACAAAAATCAACAGACCCCAAGCCGTTTCACTAACTATGTGACGCCTTGGGGGCTGCATGATTTGCACACTGTCGCCATTTCTATCTTACTACGCGCGTCAACGACGGCCCAAGAAATCCCCCAATCGCTGCAAAATATATCAACCAGGCCCCTACAAGGAACACGTCATCCCCCCCCACGGCACGCAACTCACACACACACACACCAACAGAGCCCCGGAGGCCTCAAACAGTTTTCTGAAACCTGAACCACGCAGGTTGGCGGCATGGGCCGAAGGCCACTAGATGATAATAGTTGCACGCGGGCGGGATTTTTTTGTTCGGAGACCATGGTCATCGAGACACAATGCAGGAAAACATCGCTACGAAGGTGTATGGACTCGCTGTGGTGAGCGGCCGTGGATGGCGATGGCGGCAACAGCGGCGTCGGTCCTCAAGCAACCGACAAACCTGGCAACCCTCAACCAACGAACGAGCCGGCCGCTAGCCAACAAGCCAGCCGACGGGCCCGCCCAGAAGCCGTCCGAAGAAACACGCCCGGCCTTCTCCCAGAAATGCTCGAAACGCTCCGCGCAATCCTGGTAGGGCGTGATGACGCCGGGGTACTTTTCGGCAAGCTCCTCGTCGCCATGGAATGGGGCGAGGAAGTGGGAAAGCAGGGGAGGTGGTGAAGATTGAGGTGCAGCGTCGAGGGAGGGAAGGGCGAGAGGGAACGTTAGGGGAGGGCGTTCGAGGGGGAACATCGAGCTGATATCGACGATTGATCGGCGATATTCCCCCCGAAAGCGAATCCGAACCGTTCTTGGGCGGGGTGGGCTATCGGGCCCAGATCGGTGATCAATGAGGGATTGGAGGTCGAGGCATCCCTTCCTAAACCTATCCCTTCGAATGTTGCCCCTGACGGGGGGAGGAGCGATGGGCAAAGCGAGCGGGAGAGAAAGTGAGAGGAGGGGGAAAAAGGAAGCGGTAGCACTGAAAACAGTAGTAGCAATAACAGAAGCAGTCGGACATAGTAAGCTGGACACCGGTACTCGATACTGAGCAGTTCGTAACCGAAGCCATCCGAAGCCATAGCCGCAGTCGCCAATGCGGCAGCAGCAGCACAGCCACAAGGAACGCTGAATCAGGAAGGAATGGCCATGCTCTGGATACGGCGAGCCTCAACCACGAATGAAATCCCCGACTTGAACTCCAGAGAGACACACATACCACTACCACCAACTAAGGGGGTGACCGCTCCGTCCCCTCAAACTGGTGGCGCCTCCTTCCTTCAACTCGCTGGAGGCATGCCCAGAACGAGGTGCCACCAGCTCGACGAGAGGGTGGGACAGCCACCCTCCCCTGGCTGGTGGTTAGGTTTTTTCCTGTGGTGATAATCCCGAAGAGCGGCCCGAAAACTAGGGGCCCTCCGCATTCGGACACGGCCCCTGCTTCAGCGCTGCCGCACCGCAGAACAAAATGCAAAGCTCCGCCGCCGTGCCCCCCGCCCGCTGGCGGGGCGCCTGATGATGATAAGGAGGAGGAGGAGGAGGAGGAGGAGGAGGAGGAGGAGGAGGAGGAGGAGGAAAGGACGAGGAAGAGGAGGACAAGTAGGAGGAGGAGGAGGAGGAGGAGGAGGAGGAGGAGGAGGAGGAGAAAGAGGAGGAGGAGGGAGGAGGAGGAGGAGGAACAGGAGGAGGGGGAGGAGGAGTTTAACACGCGTGCTTTGGCGTGCGCGTGCGTGCCAGGGGTCTCGGCGCCCTGGGCGGGCGCGCGCCGCACGCGCCCGCGGGAGGGTGGGCCCGCGGCCTCAATGCGCACCCTTTTCGTGCCTCGCCGCCCGTGGCTGCCGACTCCGTGAGTCGCAGCTCCCATCGGGCAGCAGCGTCAATGTCACCGCTGCTCGCCCTGTGCTCAGAGCGCGAGGAGCAGCCTGATGAACGGCCGCTGCCGCTCCTCTGCCCTTCGCTCCTCCAGGGAGCGCTCTGGCAGCTGCTCCCCTTTTCCACGCTGGGGTCCGCTGCGGCCTAACCCCTCGCCGTTCTGGGGATCTCTGTGGCCGAACCCATCGCAACGCTGGGGGTCTCTGTGGCCTAACCCCTCGCCGCGCTGGGGGTCTCCGCGGCCTGACCCATCACCGCGCTGGGTTCCGTTTGGGTCTAGCCCCTCGCCGCGCAGGGGTTCGCGGCGGCCTAACCCATCGCCGCGCACGGGAGCGCTGTGGCCTAACCCCTCGCCGCGTTGGGGTCTGATGCTGCCTGACCCCATGGCCGCGCTGGGGCTCGCTGTAGCCTAACTCCTCAACGCGCTGGGAATACGCGCGGCCGAACCCCTCGCCGCGCTGGGGCACTGTGCGGTCTGAGACCTCACCGTGCTGGGGTCTGCTGCGGCCCAACCCCTCGCCACACTGGGGTCCGCCACGGCCTAACCCCTCGCCGCGCTGGGGCCCACAGTGGCCTAACCCCTCGCCGCGCTGGGGCCCGTTGTGGCCTAACCCCTCACCGCGCTGGGGCTGGCTGTGGCCTAACCCCATCGCCACGCTGGGGCCCCGCTGCTCCTGCTTGCACTTCTGATGGCGCCGGGGGCCGCATCGCCGCCAGCTGCCCCTCTGCCTCGCTGCGCGGCCTCGCGCGCCGCGCGAGCCACGAGCCCCTCGGCTCCGCCCGCGCTCGGGGCCCGCTCTGGTGCGCCTCCCCGAGCCCCTCCTGCCGCTGCTCCTGCTGCGTCGTCTGCGCCTCCGGCAGCGCTTCCTCGTCACCGTCTCCGGGCCTCTGGCCGTGCCGCTCGGGCCGCGAGCTGCCTTGCTCCGCCCGAACTCGGGGTCCGCGCTGGCGTGCTCCCCCGAGCCCCTCCTGAGCTTGCAGCAGAGATTCGCCCCCGCTCGCCGCGGGGCGACTGTCCCTCTGTGGGCCCTGGGCTGCGTGGCTTCTGCTCAGCCGCTGGGGGGGGGGGGGGCTCTGCCTGTTTGTCTTGCTAGGTGGCGCCACGAGTGCCCCCCTCTCCAATGGCTCGCATCTGGGATCCCCTTCCAGGCCATCTTCTCCTGAGTCCTGGTAGGTGCCCCTCTGCTGGTCGTGACCGTTGCTGCCCTCTTCGTCTTCGCAGGGGTCGCGGTCGTCGAAGTCCACCGTGCTGTGTCCTGCTGGTGGGGGAAGGGCACCCCTCAGCATCCCTTCTGCGCCTTGCTGGGGCCTGCTGTTGCCTAACCCCATGGCCGAGCTGGGGCCCGCCGCGGCCTGACCCCCCGCCGCGCTGGGGCCCGCCGCGGCTGGGGGCCGATGTGGCCTAGCCCCTCGCCGCGCGGGGGCTGGCTGTGGCCTAACCCCTCGCCACGCTGGGGTCCTATTGCTCCTGCTTGTACTTCTGCTGGCGCCAGGCTATCTTCTCCTGCGTCCTGGTGGGTGCCCCACTGCTGGTTGTGCCCGATGCAGGGGTCAGGTCCACCGTGCTGCATCCTGCTCTTGGGGGAGGGGCGCCCCTCTGCAACCCTTCTGCGCCATCGTCACGAGCTGCGGCGGCGCCGCCTCCAGGTGCTCTCGTCGAGGCGGGCCTGCCCCGCGCGCTGTTTACCCCGTGGGTGCGCCAAGGGGCAGGCTCTGGGGGCTTGGGACTTGCGTTCTAGCCGCCGACGTTGTCAGCGAGTCACTGTGGCCAAACCCCTCGCCACGCTGGTATCCTCTGTGGGCTAGCCCCTCGCCGCGCCGGGGCTGGCCGCGGCCTGGCCCCTCGCTCTGCTTGGGGCCACCGTGGCCGAGCCCCTCGCCGCGCCGGGGGCGCCCGCAGCCCCTGCAGTCGCCATTCGCCTGCTGGCCCACGCCGAGCACCATCTCAGCAGTCTGCCTGCGCCTGGCCGCTTCCTCAGGATCCTGCTGCTGGTTGGCACGCCGCGCGCCCCCCCCCCCCCCCCCTGTTCAGTCATGCGAGGTGGCATATATCCTCCGCCGATGTGCTCTGGCTGCGCTGGCGCGCCTGGCCTGGGCTGTCGTTGAGGAGGCGCTGGTAGGGGCCTGTCTGCAGGGGCCTGAGGACGCAGGGCACGCGCGCTGCCCTCCACGTCCCCCATCCTTGTCCCCCAGCCACGGGTCCAGCACCTAGCCAGAGACTGCATAAACTGCTGCAGTAGGTTCCGCTCTTGCCAAGCGAGCCCCCTCTCGGGGTCCTGATCTCCATCTCCTAGATGCTGGCGGAGCCCGGGGCGCTGCATGCCCGCGTCCTTCGCCTGCTGCGCAAACTTCAGAGGTCTGGCATGGGCGACTTGGCTAGCGGAGCCCACTGCACCGTGGCACTCCTTTGGACCATAGAGGTGTCGTCGTTGCGTGGCTCTCTCCCTGGGATGATGCCCATGTCCTGCTGGTCACTTTCTGCCCATTCCAGTTCTGGACCTTCGCTGAGACGTCATCCAAGTTCTCTGGCATCCAGGCCTGGTATCCGTCCGTGGTGCTGGGAAGCGGCCTTCTGTCCCTGCTGGGGATGCTGTGCGCCGGGATGTTGCCCCTCTTCCCCAGGAAGGCTTGCTTGCGCACCCTGGCTGCCAGCTGCCCGGTACCGCGCGGGAGGGCGAGCGTCCGCGCCATGAGCCTCCTGCGCGTTCTGTAGGTGTTCCTCCAGATGTTCTCGCGGAAGTCTGTCAGCTGCTGCTGGTACTCCTGTGGCGTCGTGGCCCTCTCCTGGGCTTCGCTGACAGCCCTGCCCCCCGCGCCGGTGACCGCCATGAGGTAGGGCATGCAGCACTCCATCCAGTCGCCCATGTCGTCCCAAACCTCATGGTCCACGATGGTCACCCACTGCTCCGCGTACCCTTCCATGCGGTCCACAAGCCTCCAGCTGGCCTGGACAACTGACTGGGGATGATGCATGCGCCGCTGGGGCTCTGGCTGGGCAACGTCGGGCTCGGAGCTCTCTGCGTCTAGTTCTATCACCTCCTCGCTGCCAGTTCCCTGCCTGAAGGAGATGGGGCTTGTTGCCTCGGGTGCTGCTCCGTCAGCGTATTCCTCATCTGGTGTGGCCTTGCGTCCTCTGTTGGGCAGCCTTCCTTTCTGCGTGTCGTCGATGGTTCTCCTGCCTGCAGCCGTGGGCGGCAACCGCGGCTTGGCCAGCTTACGCGCTACTCCCGCCACGATCCTGCCGCGGTGGTTCCCGAGGTAGCTAGTCGCGCCGCACTTCTCACGCCGCAGCCAGCCTTGCTCGAGCTGCGTCTCGCGATGTCGTGGACCACCTGGGTGCCAATCTTGGCCGCCTTGAAGTCGAGCCGCTGGTTGCCGCGAGTGTCTAGGTGGCTGCGTCCTCTCCCTTGGTATATGTACCTTTCTCTGCTAGCCATGCTCGCGCGCTCTGCCCCTTGCCTGGTCCGCCGCGGCAAGAGACGCACCACCAGCGCGGGTGTAGCTTCCGCAGGTCGTGTCTAAGCTGGGCTGCTTGTTATTGGGCTGTCGGCGTCTCCCTCCTCCTCGCCCCCCTGCTTGTGGACTTTGCTTGGGTCCTCGACCGCGATCGCCATGTTGATCCAACGCCGCTTGCTCTGAGCGGCCACCGTGATCTGGTCGCGTATATGCTGCTTGGTGATGGTTGCTGGGTCGAGCGCTCCATGCTCTGCGCCACAGCCGGCATCTTTGCCGGCCATCTCGTCGTCGATCACCCACCAGGACGGTCCCGCCCACCTTTTCCAGCTCGATGGGGTGCTCTATCATGTGGCTGGGGGCGTGGTGTCCCATGATAGTGTCCGTGCTGCGCTGCATCTGCTGCTCGCTCATAAGCCAGAGGTCGTAGTTCACGCTCCAGTCGTCGAGGTCACGTGGGCTTTGGATCTGCGTCAGCGCGTCTAGGGCATACTTGCACTCGCTGGCTATGTTAAGGCCCTGGGCGGTGGCCGCCGTGGTGTACCCGATGGCCTTACTCATGGCTGTGAGCTCTGCCCTGGGCACCGTGCGCGGCGCCCTGGTGGTCCCATGCCCGGCTGCCACCTCCTGCGGCAGGCCCCACTCGTCGAGCTTGAGGGCCACAACTGCCCAGCCGCACCTCCGAAGCCTGGGGCCCTTGGCCGTGATGTCTGCACCCCCCGAGCCGTCCGTGAAAACATAATCATTTCTCACCTTGCACCCCATCTGGACTGCCGCTAGCGCCTCCGCGCTGGCGCAGATGATTTGCGCCGCCCTGGCTGCGCCCTCGCCTGGGTCAACCTTGGTTGGCCATGCCATCGGCGGGATGCCTCGTAGCCGGAAATGCACGTCCTGCTGCTGGTTGACCGCGTCCTTGCCTTTCTTGGCCAGGTCCGTGTTGTTGCTGCGGCAGTTGTCGTCACTTGCAGGGCATTCGTACTAGCGGTGTGTTTCTGTTTCCACCGCTTCTCCGCATCGCGCGCAGACCTCCTCTCCTGCTTGGGTGCAGTTGGCCGTCCTGCGTCTCTCCCTCGCCCAGATTCCTGCCGCCGCCATGGTTTCCAGCGTCGCCGCCTCTGCATGCTGCCCTTTGCGCCGTCGCCTGCGCAGGTGGCTATGCAGCTGGTGGAGATATCCTCCTTCTTGCAGGCCCTCTCCATGTCGGCGAGCTGCTGCCTGTTGCCATAGCTGGTGCTGCACGCTAGTCCTGGATATCCTGCAGCAGCGCGCCGAAGTGGGGAATGTCTTCTGGCTTGTAGGCCCACTCATCTCCTGACGGGCTGATCCAGCTGCCCAGCCGCTGCGGCGCCCAGCCCAATCCCGAGCGGGCGGAGGAGGAGGAGGAGGTGGAGGAAGAGGAGGAGGAAGAGGAGGAGGAGGAGGAGGAGGGGGGAGGAGGAGGAGGAGGAGGACGACGAGAAGGAGGGGGAGGAGCAGGAGGGTGCAGGACGGTGGAGGAAGGGAGAGGAGGAGGAGGAGCAATGAGCAATCAGCAATGCGCGGGAAGTTCAAATGAGTTGCTCGACTCACACCATGAAACCGGGCAAAGAACTCTGCGCAACCCGGCTTAGGTGGGGTGCGGGTTATCACACTGGCTGGACCAGCACTGCCCCCGACGGGTGGCGAACCTCCATGACGCCGCGCAGGCGTACTGACAGGGGCCACCTAAGGGACCGACGGTTGGCTGGGTCCTCGGCCTTTGCTACTGCCTTTCCCCCTGCGCGGGGCCCGCTTGGGCGCTACCACAGGGGGGGTCATGGGGGGATTAGCCTGCTGATACGTGGCAAAAGCGGGGTCCGAAAAGGATCAGGAATCACCCCCCTGGCCACTAGACTTGCCAAACGAACGCTACCTGAAAAAAAAACACACCTGTTGGACTGGGAAGATCTCCTCACATCCCCCTCCATCCTTCCACGGCTCCTACTCCTACTCCTATCCCCCTCCCTCACGGGCCTCGCAGGCCTCGCTGGACCACCCGAGCCCAGGACCTCATTCCTTTCTTCTCGATCAAATTCAGAATCCTCGCAGCTTCTCGCTCGAGAGGTCCTTTCGGGGCTGGGCCAATCAACTGCTCCGCCCTCCCCTGGTCCTCCTCGTAGTTGAGCCGCCAGGTGATCAGCTCCCTCGCCATTATGCCAGGCTCGTTGTAGCTGAAGGCGAAAGTCAGCCGCCCGTTCTTCATCTGCCGCTGCTGGCTCGAGGAGCCACTCGTCTCGGCCTTCCGCCCCTCGTGCTTGCGACACCGAAAGTGCAGCGCGTGATTGCCCGCGGTCTGCGGGGTGGCGCTCTGGATGTACTTCGCGAAGTACCCGTTGAACTCCTTGGCCTCCGCGTCGGCGCGCTCCTCTTTGCCGCCCCGGATGAACTTCTTCGCGCTGGCGACGAGGTTGAGGCAGACCGCGGCCCGCGCCTGTGCGCGCGGGGGCCCGCGAGCGCGAAAGTCTACCTTTTCGCCTGCCCGTTGCCGTTCTTTCATTTGCCTGGACATCTCGTCGTACTTGAGCCCTGAGTTGATCATGAGCTGAGTGACCCCGCCGCTGGTCTCGAGGAGCCCCCACGCCCGGTAGACCGCGCCTGCTAAGTTGGCGAGCTCTCGCGCCGGGGGGGGGGGCGCAGCTTGGTGAGGAGGAGCGCGAGGGCCTTGGTGAAGTCCTTCTCGTTCTTGCCGCCCGTGGCCCCGCCCTGCGCTTCGACGGCTTTTCCTCCGAGCCTGGGCCCTCGCTCGCCCCCCTCTTCGTCTCCGACGTGGCCTGCGTCCACGCGGGCGGCGCGAGCTCCGCCATGAGCCGCGGAGTGCCCGCGAATCTGGCGGGTCCGCGGGGGCGCAGGGCCAGGCAAGTGGCTGCGTATATGTTCGCATGGCGCGTCTAAGTCTGCAGCTTCTACATCGCACTGAGGACACGACAATGACGATGGAGGCCCAAGAGGGCGAAACGTTCTGCCCCCACCGAATCAACAGCGCCCCCGTCGCACAGCAAGCACAAGATGCCGAGCAGCACATGCCCTGTCCCAGAAAATCTCCCTGCCGCAGATACATGTGTTACTGGGGGTGAGCACGTGGCACAGGGAGCGCAGCGAGTGGCGGGGCCTCACATGTGTCATCAAGCCCTTACGGGTGGAGAACTCCCCCTAACATCCCTCGAACTGGCAACGATGACGTGTTTCGAGTTCGGGAAATGCTTGCGTCTCATGATCACGGCCACCCCCATTTTCCACCTCAACGTTCAGACCAGCGGGGGCGATCGTCACTCCGAAGAAGCAACTCCGCATCACAGTGAAATCGATGTTCAAGAGCCCGCGGCGCACCTCGGGGCCCCACATGAGGCCAAGACGATCTGCAAGAGTTCCGAGGTGCATCCTCCGAATCTCGCATGGGCCCCTGTGCCCAGTAGAAGTCCTCAGGGACCCTGCGAGCCCAGGGGGGAGGCCTCGGAGGCCAGGCATCCGTCGACGAGAGGCCCCGCCCCCCCCCCCCCCCCCCCCCCCGACTCGAAACGCACTTCCCCGAAAAGGGCCGCGAACAGCTGGGTGTGACTGGCGGGGTGGGCTGCCCAAGACTCATGCCAGTTGAGTCGACGAATGCCCAGCTCCACCGAGGTCTCGCACGCGCGCCAGTGTTTTAGCACGGCCTGGTTGGACATCGTCCTGACTGCGCCAGTTGAAGTAGTCCAACGTGCACGGCCTCGCATGCACACACAGGCAACATGATCAATAGTAGCATCCAGGCGGGCGCTCTGCTGCTTGGCGAGCAAGAACGCCCCCATTCCACATGCAGCCGAATTCTGCACAAGGGATAAGCAGATCACCCGAGTAAACTTCCAGGGGGCGGCCAGCGTCCAGAAACCGCCCAGGGCGTGGAAAGCCGAACGTGCAGCCTGATCTCGTCTGACCACCTCCTGACTCGAAGCCTGAGACATGGAAACGTAGGGCCCCAGGTACCGCACCTCCTCCTTCAGAGCCCCAGAGATGAGAGCCCGTCCAGGCCCACGAAGCCAACGACGACAAGCCATGGCCCCCTCCCCCTCCAGCCAGACCGCCAGCTCTTTTCCCCCGAGTCTGTTGGCACCCACACTCCTGGAGGTGAGAGTCTAGCAAATCGTCTGACGCGCGCAACTTGGCAAGGAAGGGGCCCATGGGGTCGCCCTGGGCGATCAGGGTGTAGCGATAAAGGTCGTCCGCGTACTTAAAGAGGCTAAGATCAACCTCCTGACCTTGCCAATCAGCGCGTAAGAGGTGCAGAGATGGGTCAGCGGCGCGGAGCGACTCCGTCCACTGCTGCCCAGGGCGCTGAAACGTAGTCGAGAACGCTGCGACTATGAACGGATCCCCCATCACTCCTCCCACCCTGGTCTTGACCGCCACATCCCCCTCATCACTAGGTAGTAAAACCACAGCATCACGATAGCGTTTCTTGCACAGCATTAAATTCTCATCAAAAACGTGTAGGGCCATACTCGTATCCGTGGCCGTCCAGGAGGTGCTACCGAACGCGTTACTCGTATCCTTGAGACTAGCCCCAAAGCTCCATCCCGCCCGAGGCCCAGGTTGGGCCGACTTGTGTAGAGCGCATCCCCGACTAGTACTCCAATAGAAAGGGGCCATGTCTGTGATTCGCACCTCCATGAAAGCGTCGAGTAGCACCTCAAAAAAGAAAGTCGGCTCCACCGGTGCACGCTGAGCGCCCGGGACAGCGCGTGGACACTCCAGGCCCACATCGGGGTGCAACATCTGCCATCAGAGCTCCAGCGGGGCGGCACCGTCTGGGACGGCCCGTCTCTTGGACGCTTTGCGCACATACTTTCGGAAACGTTTGATGCCCTCCAAAGCCAGTTCCCTGAAACGGGGATCGTCACGGGCAATATCATAGATATGGGCCAGATTTGGGTCGTCCCTCTGGTTTCGCCACTGCTCCAAATCGATGGGGATGACTTTAATGCCCCCCCCCCCCCTCCAGGTAACTGCCAGACACCCAACCACTCCTGACGAGAGATCGAGAAAACAAGGAAGAAGAAAAAATGCAACGAGCCGCTCTCCTCGCCCACCCCATAGCCTCCGAGATATTTCTTCTAGCCCATGCCTCGCTGGAAGCCTGGGCAAAGGAAGCCCTCTCCGCCCTCATGTGACGTCGTGTAAGCAGACGCATCCTCTGCGAAACCTCGCGGAGCTCCTCCTCGACCGCTGGCAAATCCGTGGCTTGCAAGCGAGAGTCGCGCAACTCAATGCGCTTTTCCAGCAGCTCACGGCGCAATGCGGCCCAATGAGCGCAACCATGCGGCATGTCCGTATCTTCGCAAAATAGTTTTGACCCCGCCCCCCACCCCATCCCTGTTCTAGAAACTCAAAACAGTGATCTGGAGAATCCTGATCATGAGCCCGTATCCGATCCTCTTCCCGTTCCCGCATCCACTGCTCCACTCCTTCCACAAAGGCGACGCGCTGAGATCCAGAGCGGACAACAAGCATAAGAGAGGAGGTATTCCAGCGAGCCCGCTGGACAGGGACACATTATTGGGGTCCTTCGGGATAATGTAGCTCCAAGTAGAGGGGGACATGATCTCGGGGGGGGGGGGGGGGGGGGGGGGGGGGGGCGCCCGCTCTGGGCTTGCAACTGCGCGCCGATCCGTCGTAAAGTATGGCATCGAGCCAGGCGGGCGCCCCACCCCTGCGGAATAAATAGGAAGTCGATCAAACTCGAGGGCCCTTCGGGTCCATCACCGTAAAAAGTTGGATCAAGAGGGCCCAAGGTATTCGCCGCAAGCAAGTGATGCTGCTCCAGCAGGTGTGCCACCGACTCTCCTGCTCCCTGCCTCCGCCTCTCCCTCGTGCGTGTCTGACCCACCGCGCTGCTGTCATACTCCTCCCACTTCCCCTCGATGCGACGACAGCCGAGCCCATCGTTCAAACCGGCAGAGAAAATAAGCAAACAAAGTGCTGGAAGTTGGTCGAGACACTCTCGCCGCCACAGGGTCATCCTGGCGACCGTCTGCGTGCACTTCGGGCCGCCCCTTTCCTTCGAGGTTGAGGAAGATAGTAGAGAACCCCAACACACACGTCCACGATGTTGCGTCGAATGCGAGCGGCGGCGAGACAACGACCCCAGAGCTCGGGCGGGCTGGAGAACACACGACGCACGCGATGGCCTCGAAACTCTCGGCCTAATAAGATGGAAGCGCCAGCACTACGATTAGTGTACAATCCTGATGATACTGCTGCTTCAAGAACCACTCTTCCCTCCACCTTTCGTTGAAGCACCTGTTCCGACTCCCTGCACACGTTCTGGGTTCCCGCCAACAAAGTGAAGTCCATGTTCTTCGTGCAGGCGGCGATCTCCTGGAGTCGGCTACCAGTGCCCCACATGGGGTTCCATCCGAGCACCCGTAACCTTGACATGGTCGGCGGCGCCCCATCATCTCGCAACGGCCGCGCGGCCGTGGGTGCCTGGAGGCATTGAATTCGCGTGCCTTTGGAGGACGAGGAGGAGGAGGAGGAGGAGGAGGAGGAGGAGGAGAAGCAATTTCCCAGAGGCACCCAGCAGGAGGCGAGTCTCGAAGCAGAGGCGGCGGCCGCGGGCCCGGGACCAGCGAGGAGAGCACCCCCGCGCGAGAGCACGGGAGGGCCGGCCCTGCCTATGGCGACATGCTGGCCCCCACTGCGCAGTCGGGGCGTTGACCTAAGGAACCCGAAAGAAGGAACGAGGCCCCCTTGTTCCCGTGGGCTAGGAGCGAAGCCCTGTTTCCCCATAGGTTAAAACTTCGACGTCCCGTGGAAAACCTCAGGGACACCAAAGGCAAACTGTAAAACAATCGATCAAGGAACGAGGCCCCTTTTTTCCCATGAGTTAGACTTCGATAGCCCGTGGAAAACCTCAGGAAAACCGAAGGCACACTGCAAAACTGTCCAGGAACGCCGAGCCCCTCCCCAACGAAAAGGGTTTCCTTTTCAGCGCCCCGACGGTATACTGCATCTCTCCGCTCCGCTTCTTCAGTCACACGGTCGACGGTGCTCGTTCGATGCCACACCGTAGGCAAGTTGCAAGTTGACCCGAAGAGACGGAGGGAACGAAACGCGTAGCCTCCTTTTTTCATTTCGCTCCAGAGTCGACCCAAAACAACTGCCCTACCTGTCGCGACCTGGTAAGACAGTGGCAGGAGAGGACCGAGGTGGGAGGAGGGCAAGAGATGGGTGCGCCCGCGCCACGTCTGTCGTCCTGCACCGTCCCTCCCGCCTTCGTCCTCCTCCTCCTCCTCCTCCTCCTCCTCCTCCTCCTCCTCCTCCTCCTCATACTCATACTCCTCCCTCCTCCTCCTCCTCCCTCCTCCGCATACTCCTCCCTCCTCCTCCCTCCTCCTCCTCCCTCCTCCCTCCTCCACCCTCCTCCTCCCTACTCCTCCCTCCATTTCCTCCTCCTCCTCCTCCTTCTCCTCCCTAATCCTCCCTCCTCCTCCTCCCTCCTCCTTCCTCCCACTGCGCCGCTGCGCCCCCTCCTCCTCGCCAGGCCCAGGCCCCGATAATCACGCGGCTGCAGCGCGAGAGGTGCCCAGGGGGCTCAGGCCAAAGAGGACGGGGGAGGAGCAGCCGCAGGCCGTGCGCGAGGAAGCGTCGTCGTCGTTGTCGTCGTCCTCCTCCTCCTCCACGACGAAGGAGGGACGAGGGAGAAGGGAGGAGGGAGGGGGCAGGGGGGAGGGAGGAAGGGGGGAGGAGGAGATGAGCATCGTTTAATCGATCCCTATCCCCCTGGCGTGGCCTTGGCCCCGTACGGCCGAGTTTCCCCAATCAAGGCTTGCACTGAAGGGGTCCTAGCGGAAATGGAAAAATTTGGCGGAAATGTCCCGCCGATGTTGGTGGCCGGCGCTGCTGGGTTCCTGGGTTCCCGGTTCCTGGGTTCCTGGTTATTGGTTCCGGGCCGATTTCGGCGGGTTCCGGGTTCCTGGGTTCCCGGTCGATCTCCCAATCCATCAAACCATCCAAGGATTGGGGTGTTTTTCTCTGGTGTAATTTCCCCCCTGGATGGGGATATATGATCCCGGCTCCCGGTCCGGCGGGCCCCGTTCCCCCAGATGGGATGGGTCCCAGGGCTCGGCGGGCCCCCCACTCACAGGCCACGGGCCACACCCCGCCCACAGGGGGGGGGAGGGAGGGGGGGGGCCCAGGCCCGTCGGGGGGGGGGGAGGGGGGCAATAGCATCAGCATGGTGGGGGGGGGGGGGGCGGTCACAGAGGCTGGTTTCGTGGGGGGCGTCCCCCTGGGGGGGCGGGGGGGGGGCCGAGGTGGACGACGACCCTGGGTGTGGACTCGGGAGAGGCCGCGGCCCGCCTGGACCTCCGCGCAGGTGGCGTTCGCCGCCCCCCTCTCGAGCGACCTCTGCGAGAGGACCTCGCACACGATCTTCTCCTGTGATGGGCTGTTTTCCACCAACACCACCACCAGAAGTTGGAGGGCGAAGGGGTCCTCCTCCTCCTCCTCCTCCTCCTCCTCCTCCTTTTCCTCTTCCTTCTCTTTTTCGTCCTCCTCCTGCTCGTCCTCCTCCTCCTCCCCCCCTCCAACTGGTGGTGGTGGTGGAAAACACGCCCATCATCCTGGGTGGCATTAGGCCGGGCATGTCCTCCTACAGGCTGAATTTCGAGGACAAATAAAACGTCAAACAAATACAAACATAGAACAAACTCGTCCCCGCATTACTTTTGGAGTATTTTTGGGCGATGGTGCGGCAACCAAGCCCACGTCGGGCACGTGGCGGAAGCGCCGACGGCGGGCACGACTGTGATAACGATGGTGGTGGCGGTGGTGACGATGATAAAAAGAGAACTACGTCGGGCATGTCCCTCGACAGCCGGATTTTGGACGCAAAATTAAACATAGTCAGAACATCCTCATACAGCAGCAGGAGGATGGGGATGGGGGAGACACGCGGAAGCGGAAGGGGGAGCGAGGCAGGAGGGGAAGCGAGAAGCCCACTTCACCGACGAGGCCCGCGCGCAGGCAACACCGCGGATGCGCAAAGCCGTGGTGCAGATCTACGCTCGTCAAGCACGCCAGCAACACGAAACGGCTCAGGCGGCCTATTGCGACGGATGTCTGCTAATGTCAACTTCCTGGTGCCAGGGCTTAGTGGGTCCCGCAAACGGCAGGGCCGTTTTTCACCGTTTCCGAACACATGTTTCTTGAAAATGGAAGCGGGAAACAACAACTGCGACCGGAAATGGCAAAACAACGGCTTCAGGATTGGCACCGGAACCGGAACCGGTGAAACAACGGCGACGGAACCAGTAAAGAAGCGGCGTCGGAACCGGCAAACAAAACAACAAAACGACAACTGTATAACAAAACAAACACCCTGTCGTTTCCAGGGCCCGCTTGGTGCGCCAGGGGCTACCCCGTGCCGAACGAGGATGGCCCTGCCTGCCCCGGGTGGGCCGTTGCCTGGCCCTCCTGCGGTTTGGCAACGTGTATGGTTTCCTTGAGGTTTCCCGCCAGACGGGCCTATCCACCTCCCGCCGCGCTATCCGCCCCTTCTCATCCTCCTCACTACCACGTTTGCGGTCGGGGGCTTTTATATATATATGGTCAAAAAACACACGAACAAAAACATTCCGAGCGCGAACGCGTGCATGCATAAACTCTACGCTGACCAAACAGAGCATGCTCTGCGCCCGAGGCGCACCCGGGACGGCCCCAGGGCAGCGAGCTGATGCCCGCGCAACATTCCGCCCCACGGGGCCAGGGCCCACAGCGCGCCAACGGGCCGCGCTGCGGGGCGCCAGCGCTGCCCCAGCAGAACCGCGAAGTTACACGTCGCTCGGAAGAAGCAGGTGGAAGCATGAAGTAGGAAGGCGGATAAGGTGGATTGGGTCCAGGCCCTTCCGGAGAACAACAAGACACAGCAAGAGCATGCCGATTTTCTTGAAGTAGGACGGCGCTCGAAAGAGATTGGCATCTGGGGATCCAAAAATTCCTACTTCCAGCGAGCGGCGTGTACGCACGAGGTCGGCGAGATGCAGCTCGCGCAGGCTTCGGTGCCGCGTCGGCAGGTCCGCCTCGGCCGCAGCCTCGGCCCTGCGTCCTGGCGGCGGCGGCGCCCCCGCCCTCAGGAACTCTCGGCCCGCGCGGGCGACCAGAGGCTCGCACGCGGGCTGCCGATCTGCTCCGGATCCCTCGACCGCCTCGAAGCCGACCGAGGGCTTCCACTGCTCTGCTGCGCGCGCCGTCGCACGCAGCCCACCCGAAGGGCGGCAGGGCCTCGTCCTCGCGGTCGGCTCGCGCGAGGAGCTCGGCGTCGAGACTGCTGAGCTGCTCCCGAGCGCGATAAGGAATCCAGCGTATGGAAGCCACTGGGAAGCCAATCGAGGCTTCCTCCTGGAGGAGGAGGAGGAGGAGGAGGAGGAGGAGGAGGAGGAGGAGGAGGAGGAGGAGGGGGAGGAGGAGGAGGAGGAGATGGGCTCAGGGGGGTCACCGCTTCCCTTATCGGATGCGGCATCCTCCAGGGTCTGAGGCCTCCTGGGCACACACGCCCCCACCGTATCACAATGAGGTCCATCTCTGTAGCCCTCATCCACCCCCCCCTCCTCCTCCGCTATTTCCGCTATTTGACGCGCCGTAAGGGTCACAGCCCTGAAGCGCAGCGCGGCGGCCGTCGGCCGCCGACAGAGGGGGGGAGAGGGAGGCCCGTTTCAATCCTGGACAGCGAAGGCCTGGAGGAAAGGGGAAGGGAAAAACACGGGCCCGTTGGGCCCAACACCGGTCGGCGAAGGGCCCGAGGGGGCGAGGGCCCGCGGGGCCCTGGCCTTTGGCTCGGCGAGGGCCCACCCACCTCGGTGGGACCTAGCTGAGCTCGTCCGCGTGGTCGGGGGCGGCGGGGCCCTCAGGTCGCGTCGAGGGCGGCGACCCCGCCCGCCCCTGGCCTCCGTGGTGCGCTCCCTCTGGTCCAGCGCGAGGTGCTCCGCGTCGCGCGTGCGTCCGCGGTGTGCACCTGCCGGTCCAGCGCCTGGAGCTCTGCGTTGCCGCAGTCTGCGGGGCTCCGCTCCTGGCCTCCCAGCTGTACGCCAGCTGGCCAAGCGCGCGGAGCTCCGCGTTGCCGCCGGCCTCCATGATGCGCTCCCTCTGGCCCAGCGCGAGGTGCTCCGCGTCGCCGTGCGTCGCCGGGTGCACCTGCCGGTCCAGCGCCAGGAGCTCTGTGTTGCCGCCGGTCTGCGGGAGCTTCAGCGCTTGGCCTCCCAGCTGTGCGCCAGCTGGCCCAGCGCGCGGAGCTCCGCGTTGCCGTCGGCCTCCATCGCCTGGCCCCCAGCGCGAGGAGCTCCATGGTGCCGTCGGCCTCCGCGATGGCCCCCAGCGCGAGGAGCTCCGCGATGCCGTCGGCTTCCGCATTTTCTCCTTCTGGCCCAGCGCGAGGCGCTCCGCGTCGCGGTCGGCCTCCTCGATGTGCCAGTGAGCCTGCCTCGTTGCTGGTGGGCTCTTCGTCTTGTCACAGTCACCTTGGTCATGAACTGGTTGACTGCGTTGGGCTCTTCTCCTGGTACGGGTCTCAGCCGATGAAGTAGTTGTCGTGCTGGTTAAGGTCGATGGGGGTCGGCTTGTTGCTGGTAGGTGGAATAGATTGCGGGCGCACTCTGGCCTCCATGCACCGACTTCAAGCAGGGTTCATGGCGGCCCTGCCTCGTCCCGCTATGGCTAGGGGTCACGGTGCCCTCGGTGGGGGCGAACCCCAGGCCAGGTGATTCTTCTGCTGTCGGTGAGGAAGGTCAACGCTGCCCTATGCTACGCCCTTGGGCGCTCGGGAGCTCCGTCTCCGCCATGGGAATGGTGGGGGTGGCGAGCTAGGGCGGACCGCGGGGGCGCGGGCAGTACTCGTCCTGCCCCCCCCCTGCCCCTCACCATCCCCCCTGGTGGGCGCGGGCAGTCCTCGTCCTGCCCCCCCGCCCTTCGAGCCCGTCTCGAAGTTTGATCCTTGCCTCACCAGGGCAACGTTGACTGGTACTTGGTGCAGTTGGGGTCATCGGGCTGGTACTTCTGAGCCCTGGCTGTACGGCGGCCGTGTCCGTCACTATGCAAAACGTGGCGACGTGAGCCTGGGGTGTTCCCTCGCATTCGGGGCTTCCCCAGGTCTTGCGTCCTGACAACTTGTGCAAAACTTGGCGACGTAGCCTGAGGTGTTCCCACGCATTCGGGGCTTCCTCAGGACTTGCGTTCTGATTCTTTTGTACATGTCGTCAAGGCGCTTCGTCACGATCCTCGTTGTCAGCCTGTGCCCGAACAGCTCCTGTCGAGGTGGTGGCCCTGCCGATTGCCTTGTCGGGTCGGTCCTGCCGGGCCCACTCCCTTGCCTCTTCCAGCCAGGTCGGTGAGCCGTTCCGCCTGCTGCCTCGATAGTAGTCCTGACCCATCTCCCTGGTCTTGTAGTGGTCGAGCGGCTGGAAGAAGTGGGCCACGTCGTCGTCGATGTGCCACCCCTGGACGTCGTTGGGCGATTCGCCAAAGCGCCACCTGATCTGCTTCACCAGTGCGGTCGCGATGGCCTGGCACATCCTGTTCGGGTACTCCTTGGCCGGCGCGGTGCGCCACTGGCCTTCATCGTTGATGCCTGCCAGCTCCGCATGGTAGGAGGCCGTGTGAAAGCACCTTCCACTTCCAGGCAGTCTCCTGATTTCTGCTCGGAGGGTTGGTAGGGATACCGCCATCAGGCTTGTGGATTTCCTCGAGCGCGCTCCACAGGTGCACTGGTCGAAGGTGATCAGCTCGACTCCCTGCTGGTTCAGGAGATGGCGCATCTCGGGAAGCTTCCAGGAGCTGGCGAAGTGCTCCTCGATGGGCTCAGACGGGTGCTCGAGCATGCCTGGGACTCCCAAATTGAGGCACATGTACATAAGTTCCAGCTGTGTCCTGTATAGGCGGTTGCCTGTCGCTACTTGCTCCATCTCTGGGCGGGAAAGGTAGCGAAAGCCCCACAGGCTATTGCCGCCCCTTAGGGGTCTTGGTGGCCGACCCCTGCAGCCATTGGGGGGCAAGTGGCGCGCTCGGCTCCAGGTCTCGCACGGCGGTCCGCCGATGACTCCTGCAATTCTTCCTGCTTGTGCCATGTCTCGCCACTTGCTGACTGCGACCTCAGATGTCAGGTCGCCGAAGGTCGGGTCGTTGGCGATGTCCAGGCTGAGCATGTGTATGTCGCAAGCAGCCCGACTGCTGAGGCGGTCAAACCAGTCCTGAACATCTCCGTCTCGGCGACGGCCGCTGAATAGATGCAGCACGTATAACGTCCGAGCTGGTCTGGGCCTCGGTACAGCGGCTGGCGGCGGTGGCTGCTCCTCAATGAAGGGCAGCTCAAGGCTCTCGTAGTGGCCGCCGTTGCTGTCGTCGCTGTCCTCGTCCGTATGTATTTCTGGAGGGCGAGCAGGGACTGC